ATGACAACATTTCCCTCTTACTGATGTGTAATTAGTGATTTTAGAGGACATTGTCAACAAGGTAATGGCCTTTTGTCTTTAAATCGTCAGTATAAATATAGCCCAGCTCAACAGGGATTAAAAATTATTCACGTCTAGTGAAATAGTTGGTGTCTCCTCTATGAGATGAGTTCAGCTGGGCTCAGATCCAGCTCTCATATCACAAGCTTAAGTGGCTGCATATTAAATCTTGTAATAAGGAGAGATGCCCAGAAGTTCATGGGCTGCACAGTTCATGGGCTCAACTCTCTCTCCCTGCTATCCTAGATTAGGGCTGAAGCAAACCAGCAAAGAGCAGCTTCACCCACTTCACCCCATGACTCCTCACAACTTCCAGTTCCCATGTTCCAAGAGCCCAGCAACAAAAAAAGTAGGCATTCTCCAGCTCTTTCAGGATTTACAAAAAGATTTGGAGCTCTGAACCAGAGAAGGGTGCCAAAATCCCACCTCTGCAGCAAGGAGCTCAAAAGCTTAAGTTTGGGTTTGCTGCTGTATCCACAACTCCCAGCAGCTCTGCTGAGTATCCAGAAACCCCAGGGCTTTCCTGCTCTTCCATCAGCTGGCTTTTTGGGAAGCCCAAACAGCTCCAAAATAATCCCACACTTATTTTCCCTGCTGCCCAGTATTCAATAACTACAGGCATTTTGATCAGAAACTCCACATTTTGACTACGTTAAGTTGCGTCATCATGTTTTCCTCCTGGTACTAATCCATCTTAAAAGAATTATCAGCCCCCCTGCAACATCACTGCAAAATAAAATAAATACTGCCCGTGCTGCATTCGTTGTCTGGCTGCCAGCTAGGGCAGAGCCTGAAAAACTGCTCCCACCTGTACCCACCCTGGCAGCAGCCTTGCTTTGCAGAGACCTGAACCTGATGCAGGGGGACACGCTGCCAGTAAAAATGAGGGATGCTGGCGTGGGTTTGTGTGCAGGGACCCTGAAGCACACCAGCAGCGAGCGCTGCCAGTCACGCTGGAGGTGCGATGGTGGCTGGTTTCCCATCATTTGCCTGATCCTGTCAATGTCTTGTGGCTATCATGCAAACTTTACAAAAAAATACGATAGTAAGAATTCCAGTCGATATATTCTTTTAATTTGCACCAGATTATAGATTTTTTTTAATGCAATTACTGTAATTTCATTAAATGACATAATTACCATTAATGCAGAGGAAAACTGTCAATAGAAGGTGTAATTATGTTGTATAAAATCACAAGCACAATGTGCAATGATGCATAATTCCTCATGAAAATCATTCTGTGACTAAAATTAACTTTTAAAATATTTTTAAAATACATATTGTGCAGTAGGAACGATTCAGTTCTTATTATGGATTTAACTTCCACAACTGATTTGGTGAGAGAGGGAGCAGGGGAGGCAGGGAGAGCATGCATGTGGAAGGGAGAAGTAGAAATTCAGCTTAAAAGCACACTAGAAAGGTAATACAAGTTTTCATATGCACGAGGGGGAAAAACAAACAGCTTATTATCAGATACACAAGACAACTTGTAAGCAGATGTTCCCTTAGGCACATTTCACCACGCAGCTTTCTGGACACCATTAACATAACGTGGAAGCAATGTCTCAATGAAGAAAGGTGTGACAAAAGGAAGGAGTGATGAGGATGAGGCTAAAACCATAATATTTGCTCTGGAAACTGGGAGCAAATTGTTCAGGGTAGGATACGGAAATTGTCAGGCACACAAGAAAATCTATAAAGAGATATATTACAGGATGCTTTTGAGGATGTTCAAAATAAAGCCCTTTTCAAGGGGTGTGTTCATAGACTAGAAGGAGAAGAGTACATGGACAAAGACTTAAGATCTCTCCCAGTATAACACTATAAGCAACAATTCCCACACATGCTAATATTCTCAGGTACACACAATGTCTATCAGTGTATTGTGTTTTGTTTTGTTTTCTATTATTATTTTTTTTTTTTGTACCAGAGCAACGATAAAGTCTACAAGATAAATAATCCAGGAAGCCTACATGTGACTTTCCTCTGACCCACCACGTTTATCCTAGCACTTGTGTAACACAACTCACACTAATTCCTTTGTGCACAGGGCAAGCCTCACTGAAAGTGAATTTTAGCTTTTTTCCTCACATCACTCAACCCTATTTCCAACACCTAAAACCTCTAAACCTGAAAATGCCGATGAAAAGTATGATTTCATTTCTATACCAGAGGAAAAAAACAACACATACTCAAGTTCTTTGACTGCCTGCTCTCACAAACTAAAAAAAGCTTGGGATGATGCATCTTGTAAGAAAAACATGGTGACAGCATTTTTCTCATTCACTTGTGTCCTGCCTGCACTGTCCTGTTTCCTCTGTCCTTTTTCTCTTGTGCACCCAGAAGTAGCAGCAAATGTCCTTGTCACACTTGCAAGCTGTCAGCACTAATGGGGAGGGAGGTACACTGTAATAAAGACTAAAACAGGAAGGTGTAAGAGTCTGCGTCCTTGCCTATTGCAATGCTCTGATGATCTCTTAAAAATATTTTCTTCCATCTGGTGGTGTTTTTAGTTTGATAGCTTAAGAAAATAAGGTTCACATGCGTGAGGAGCTTTGTGCATTTTCCCTGCCTCTAGTTTTGAATGTCAGATACAAGTGGGATGTTAGCAAGGACAAATATTGGACAGGTTAAGCTTTTTCAAAGCCAGGTACTGAAGGCATATAGATGTTATTTTCTGGGGAAAGATGATTTTAAAACAATACTATTTTAATACACCTTTTATTTAAACTGTTAAGAGTGGAGTACAAGTGCAGGGCAGGGCAGTACAGATGCTGCACCTATCACGCTGTGTACATATTTTCACAATTATGAATACACATACTGGAAATAGCGAGAGATAGAGAATTAGCACTTCATTATAAATGCCTGAGTGGAATTATTTCCATGTGGGAAAAATCAAATACACTTCACTTTTGGTTCGTAGAAGAAATCTGCTCTTTTATTCTTAGACATGTATTTTTATTCCTGTCCCACTACTGACTTTCTGTAGCAAACCGGGAGCATTATGTTACCCAGTAAAGATGTTAACATCTGTAATTTTTAACCTTCCGTCTTTTTGTTCATCTTAGTTTTCACCTGGAAACAATTCCTTTTTCTATGGACTCACTTGCCCACCTTTTTTTTTTTTTTTTTATGCCTCTCTACCACTTACAAACTTTTCCCAAGTTTAGAAAACTGAACTTCAGAGCTATAACTTCACAAGTGTTTTGTTTCCTAATTGAGCAAATCTTTTAAGCACGTGCTTAGATTCCTGCTTAATGGTGATGGCAGGATGTTGGCGCTGGGATTTTACTTCCCTGCCTCTTTCCAGCACAGTGTGCACAACCGTACAATTCCCTTGTGCACAACCATACAGCTCCCTTGAACAGCCACATACCTGCTTTAGTGAGGTACCAGGGACTCCACTCTTCTACATGCCATACAAAGAGGATTTGAGAGCTGCCAATATTGCAAACAAATATGCATGCATAGCAACTCCATGTGTTTCAAGAAAAACATCATCTTAAAGGCCTAAAGGGCAAGGTGAAGTTGATGTAGGTTTTCTTCCTCTTAGCACTTTCAGTATGCATCCTACAGTGTATCAGTTAGCATCTTTAGTGTGCATCCTACAGCGTATCAGTTAGCATCTCTGTTCTTCAGTAGAGAAAACACTTCAAGGTACTAGTCAGCAGCTCTTGAACCATTAATGCTAGATATGATCTAAATAAGCTTTGAACAAAAGCAGGAAAAAAATACACAGAAAAGACCCTCTCATCCTACCTACTCTTACGTGCACATCATCCCTCTAATCTGCAGGGTGAAAGACAGCTTCTCCATCTTTGCTCTGATTTTCTTTCAATCACTTTACTTATCTGTAGCAAATACACTATGAAGTGTTTTCCTCAAAAGAGCCTTTAAGTGATTTATAATTCACAGACAGTAAAAGGAGGAGAAATCTTGAAGATGTGGCTGCTATTTTGCTTAATCAACACTAAAAAACAAACAAACCAAAAAACACCTTTCTTTTTGCATACTGGACCACCACAAAATGATTTTGCAACCTTTAATGGCATGCCAAACATTTCAAGCATGAAGAAAATGTCACACCGCGGAATAAAAACCAGGCAAAACCTTTTTGTGCTTGAGTGGATTATGAAAAAACTGCAAATGGGGTATTCACTACCAAGAGGAAAAAGGAGAAGACTGAAAAGTGGGACAGGCAGGTGAAGAACTTGGGTTTTTGTTTGCAGAGGGGAGATCACACTGACCAGGCTTTCCTTTTTTTTTTTTTTTTTTCCTTGCTTTTAAAGGGGAAAAAAAAAAAAAAAAAGTAATGTATTGTGATGGTCAGGGGAATAAATTTGTAACTGGTGACGTCAGCAGAGCTTCTTCTGTGCCACAAGGACATGTAGCGTACTCTGGGTTGGCAGCATGCAAAGCAGACACTGATAACCTGTAGCTAAATACCTCCCCATTGCAAGGGAAGACGGATGGGAAAGCAACCATTAGCTCGGTGCATCATGCAAATCAAAGATATCTCCCTGCAGTTGGTATCCACCCTCTTTGCTACAACCTCCCTCCTTTCCTAACATCCAATTTCCAAGCTCTAAAAAGGTCCAGAACAGTCACATGGTCAAACCTTCACAAGGTGGTGTCACCAAGCACACTGACTCAGGTGTCCTGAGCACAGGTCAGCAAAAGCCTCTGAACCAAGCCAAAAAAAAAAAAAACAAAAAAAAAAAAAAAAAACACTATTTCTGAAGGTCTAATTTCCATGTCCAGCAGGCCAAACACTGGCCTGGCTGCCACTGAAATCTGTACACCCTGCAGCCATGTAGCTACAAAATACCAATAACAGTAAACGATAAATGGCTTTACGCTGGTGGAAAGGAAGGCACGGTAACACTCGATATCTTATATCACTTAGCCTCATGCAATAAAAGAAGAAATCCACTTACCACAAATGCTATCATGCTCTTTACTGTGGACTCCCAGAGAAAGCAGCTCTGAAGGAATTGTATTGTATTCCATATTGCCATAGTGATTTTTTTCACACGATCAACATTTCTCGATAAGATCTGATAAATATTGAGTGGGAGGAGGGGAGGAGAAGAGGTGTTTAATCAAACACTCTAATATCCTACAATTGCTTCAGAAACAGGGATAATTTAAGCTACAAATGCATGCCAGGGCACATATTACAAATAAAGCTTCTATTTCAGAGACACTCTCCAGCTCCTGTCTGCTTTCTGATTACACCCATACCTTCCAGATTTTCCTTATCCCTCAGGAAAAAAAAAAAAAAAAAAAAAAAAAAAAAAAAAAAAAAAACAACTCTTGACGCCAAAACTAAATAGAACAGTAACAGAAACCTATCTTTGCTCCCTTTCAATTTTCATAGTACAGCAGTGTCTGAGGAGAAGGGCTCAGAATAATTTAATCCAAACACAGAACCTCTTCTCTATGTGTTTTGGATTAGTCCATAGAAATAAATGTGAATTTTAGCCTTATTATCGATCACCTTTATTTTAAAAAGGATAATAGCTATCATTCTGGAATCCTATGGAAATTTTAACTAGCTAATTTAGACCTAAATTCTCGTTTCCAAAGAAAGGAATACAGCTTATGTTTTACTTTAGGTGCTGTGAACTGTGCAACATCTACAACAATCATTTTCCCTATTCTGAAGCACAAAGCAAAACTACTGATGCAAACTAGATCAGAAAGCAATTCTGCGTTAACACAAACAAGCCTTTAAACATACGCAGAAATACACAGAATTTACATGTGTTGTGTTTTATTCTTAAATAGGTTTTGTTCTTGCAACCATACTACAGCAACTCAAAACTTTCCAAAACAAACAAGAGCTTAGCCCAGAGACAATCTTTACCTTCTTAGAAAATTTGCAGTTCTCTTCAGTGAAACGCTTTTCTCGGGGCTTGAATGTTCTAATACTTGCTTTTACCTTAAAAAAAAAAAAAAATCATACTTTTTAATTCATTATTTCGGGATCTTTCTCTTTTCATCCTGTGCATGATTTATGAGGAGCTGCCAGGTATACACAGTGATACCCTCTGCAACCCTGGCACATATCTGTTGACCTGAAGAGCAGTGACAACACAAACAGTACCCCCAAACCTGTGATGCCCCTTGATCCAGGGGCCCACTCCATCATGCACATGCAACCCTTAATCCACGGGATTAAGGGTTAACTCTCTGCAAGAGTTAAACTGGGCAAGGCTGAACTCACTTAAGGGGCATTCAGAAGCGCAGTGAAAGAAACCAAGGGGACATCTTACAGAGGAATTGAAATAAATATTTTAAATCCTACACATTCACTGTAGGTGTAAGAACCTTGAACTTCTCTGCCTGACACTTGGCAGCAGCCCTGCTCCCCAGCTTTTGGTTGACCAACCTCACCACACCACAGGGCCAGCAAAAGCAGAGCTGCAGTACAGCCCACAATGGCCTTAATAAATAGGATTCTATTCAGTAAAGGCTGGAGGGCAAAAGCAATTGAGACTGACTCAGCCACCTAAAAAACTAAGTGCAGCATGTATATGCCTCATTAATTTTCCTGTCAACACCCTGGGAAGAGAACATTGTGGGTCAGCTTTTTGGGGAGGAAGTAGGTGTTAAAAGTAACATATAATAATCTAAACATTAAGCCCTTTTTTGGCTGCTGCAAATGAAGCCCTGGTGCACAGTAATTGACACCTCCTTCCTAAGATGCCTGTGGTCACTCTAAGTCCTAACGTGCCTCTGAATTGTCCCATCCACCTAGATGGGCTGTCACAGTATGATGTGCCAATACCTCCTCACCCATGGTATGAAACAGGCCTCCGTGACCCCAATGCAGTTAGGACGGAACTTTACTTGCTTGGCTACTGGTTTTAAAGGATCAATTACCCCCCTCCCATACATTTCCCCCCCATTCCTTACACAAATGATAAGCAAAGAGAAAATATTTTAACTTACAGGATTAAATAGGACATCCAGCTCCAAGTAAATTACTCCTTTTGAAGCACGTTCCAAGTCTTTATTCTTCAGCGTGTAACAACTTTGTTTACCGTTTCTGATCTATAGTTTGGGGGGAGAAAAAGCATCAATATTTTTCCCAGCTGTAATTCACAATTTTAAAAGACACTACTAAAAAAAAAAAAAAAAAAAAAAAAAACACTCAGGCACAAAAATCCTCCCCAAACCCTGATAATATACTCAGAGTCTGAAATACAAAATGACCATTGGATTAGAGACCTATAAAATTGCAGATTAAATCTCTTATGGTCCAACTTTAATTTACAGACCTTGTACTTTATAGTAGAGCAGTGCACGCAATAACCAGTTTGAAAATTCTGCCCTGGAAGCCAGTGAGTTGATGGGAAGTAATCAGCCTCCGTTATTACAGGTTGAAAATGGAATTTTTCTTCCAAAGTTCAGAAAGAGACACAACTTGCCTACCTACTGCACGCTCCAGTACATGAACCCACTTCTTAATGCTTAGTTTATTGCAAGGTTGTCAAATTATTACCCAGGAAACGAATATAATCCAAAGAAATTAATCAGCTTAAGTGGAGTGAATGTTTATGTAACAAATGTTCAAAATTAACAAATTCATGTAAAAGACTTCTCCCCCCACCCCACTCCTGAATTTCAATACAATTTCTATGCTCTAATCTGCCGGTTGGCCCTATCACATTAAATGTCTATAAAAACAACAACACCACCAAAAAAACTCCCTAACCATTTTGTAAACTATTTGGCTCAAATCAAAAGCATTCTCTCTTCAAAAAGTGATGGCAGAAATGTATTTATTATACACAGTAGGATATGTATTGATTAAACATTTGGCTTTTTAGGAAGCAGACCAGTTAATTCTAAACAGCAGTAACATAAAAAACTGCAGCTTACCAAAAAGCTACATTCAGGGACTGTAATGATCAAAGATTAAAGATAACGGAGGAAATTTGGGGGCATGAAATTGCAACCATATTTAAAACGGCTATTGCTGCTCTGGCATTTAGAAGAGGTACTCATATAAACCATGGCAGAAATGAGTAAGGGAAAAAAAAAAAAAAAGCTATAATGGGAACCAAGTGATTTCACATGACAAGGGAAAGGTCACTTTCCTTCCCTATGTTGCTCCACCCTTTCTGTACCAATTAGCTAGTCAAAGCATAGATGGCTTTCCTGGCTAACAGTTGAAAGGGAAGAGGGCTCTCATAAAGACCAAGTTTGCATCCTCAGAGGTGTCCAAACAGGAACTCCAGCTTTTACTGTGTTCTCATCCAAATCTTTGCTTAACTGGATGCTGGGAGTTACCCAGCCATTTGCAAGGTCTATTTAATAATAGCAATAATAACAGGCATTGTATTAAACTGATCGTGAATCTCCTCTGCTTTCACTGCAAGAGAACACAAAGGGTTGGAGGCAAAGGATGCTGCCAAGAAAGTAGCAGGCAAAAAATTATTCAGATAACCTGCAGTCTCAAAGCAGCAAATCTGCTGTAGTGCCTAGCCCCATTTTTAGGATAGACTGACATCAGAGGGTTCTCGGACTAACTACCACATAAAATAGTCTGCCTGTCAGAAAGGATTCTAGTTTTCTACTTCTTCAACAATTCCCCCTACCAAATCCATCCCTACCCCAAGCAAGTGCAAAAATAGTTTTAAAAGAAAAAAAAATGTTTCTAAATTGAAGACTTCATTTAATTTTCCAAACTGAAAATTGCTGTGAGTTATACCCAGCAGTGTTTCTGCAGAGATGCAAGAGTCCAGGCACATATCATAACATCATAATTCTGGATTCTCCACACTTACGAATTTGGTGACTGAATTTCTGCATATTTTGGTTACAAACATTTCTCACAGGGTTTCATCCTTGTGATGAACTCCTTTGGTGGTAAGAACGTGTTTTAATCTGAATATATTTTTTACCTACATCTTTCAAGAGCACAGCCAACCAGGAAAGACATCTTAGCGATGCTGTCACTACTGAGAAGGTCTAGCAACACAGCATTCGGCATTCAAAAAAATGTTTCTCAATTTGGATATTTTTAATTTGCCCAACTGGACCTGAATCAAACATTTGGGGGTGTCTATAGATGTGTTCATACAGTAACTTTCAAATCAGCAACAAAATTTCCATCTCCAAATTTCCATTTGAAAATGGGCGTTTGCTTGGAAGTTTTTTTAAAATGGTGTTGTTATTGTTACTGTTATTTTTAAATTGGACAGGGCAGAAAATATAGCAGTGCAGATCCACTTTTGCAGTCAGCTCCATTTGGCATCCTTATTTCAAAATGTTTGACTTGTCTAGTAAAAGATGTGCAATTATAACTCAGTCTAAGACTAAACATTCATACAGATCTAGCTTTTGACCTTCAGGATTAAAAAAAAAAAAAAAAAAAAAAAGCACGAGAAAACATCTCTTTGTTTCTTTCTCATGGCATTTCTCCACTGCATTTTCATTTGGACAAAAAGAAAAGACCTTGAAAAAATGAAACAAAAGTCTCTCTCAGAGTTTTGGCAACGTGCTAAACCAGTGTGGTTCAGCAAGGTGTAGGGCAATACTAACATCCAAGACTGCATGGAGATTAGATCAGTGGCATGTCTCAACTGTGCCCAGAAGAAAATATCCAAAATAGCTTTTCATATACTACATTTTCATTGTATTCTGTTCTTAGTCCAGAGTTCAGATTCTGTTCAACATTTTCCTCTATCTCAAAAGGCAGACAGTCATATTAATTTCATTTTGGATCCATTTCTTTCTCCTCTCTGGGTACTCTTCCCCTGTCTCTGCTATTTGCAAAGACTGCTTAAATGTTCTCTCCAACTGTAGAAAAGATGAGCAAATGTTGCAGCTTGGGCTAGGGTCCTAGAACGAACCTAAATTCAGAAAGATCAAATTTCTTCTATCACCCAAACATCTTTCACTACATAACTGATCTCACTCAAACTTCACCCAACGAATAGTCCTGATAGTTGTGTCTAAAATAAGTTACCTTTTTACTGTTAATATTTACCTATACTTATCTAAAAAGATAAACTATGGAATGCAAAAGAATATTAAAATTAAAAGTGAAAATACCTACAGGTTAGAACCTTGAAGAAACATTATCAATATAATTCCTTTATTAATGATTATATATACAAATTCATGGAATACTGATGACTGCATTCTATGAAAGCTTATTAATAGCACACAACATACCGGGGCTCAATCAACAACCAAGACTGTCCATAACCACTTGATTAACATGAGGACACCAGCACCCACCCCACATGCTTCATTGTGCACGGTTGCTATCAGAAAAAGTCACCATTTTTATCCCATGGGAATTTTTGATATTTGGGGCATTTCCATATTCTGAAGCAACTCAGAAAGACAAAATATCAATCTTTTAACAGAGCAATTCACACTTCCTTCTGTACTACAGTCTATACAGAACCATGTGAAGGAAATCATCAGCTGGAAGAAAAGCTAAATTCTTTGTGCACTTCAGACAGAGGCAACCTCTGGCAGTGCTTCAACTTGCCTTGCCTTCCTTCCAGCTGGAAGGAAACGTTCAGGTGCATGAGACTGCAGCACAGTCAAGGCCCAAAGTGCACCGGGTTCCTTTCAAGTGAATGAATATATTTGCTAAACTCTTCCCACAGATGTCCCCAGTAAAACAAATGTGACTAAACACAGTATTGATGTAGCCAGCCAATGCTAAATCTATTAAGCAACAACCTTCTGACCGCTTGGGAATTTTAATGAAATAGCGAAAGCTGAGATTGATATGACACAAAACACTGAGAAGACAGGACCCTTACGCAGCAAAGGGTGTTTTTTCATTGCTCTTGTCTCAAAGAAATATGGTTTAGTGGCTTTTTTTTTTACATTGATTTTAAGAAAACTTCACTCTGTATCCAGCTTTGATGCAGATTCAGTGTCATATATTGATGACCTGACAGAACAATGCTGGGTTAAACCTCTGTACATCAACACCCATGACGTGCGGAAAGGGTAATGGCTACTCTCCAAGGGTAATTCATCTGAAGCATTTGGGACCCCTGATATTCCTGCTTGAGCTCATTGCTGATGCACAATGTCATACCATTCACCCTGAATAACATAAAGCTGTCTTGTAATAGACACACACCTACTCTTATCAAAGGACATATTTCCCCAAGAAAAGATGAAAGCAAAGCACATATTTGATCCACCTGGACAAGAAGAAAGAGTTTTTTGTTTCTCCTCAGGCTTGTAATGTATGTTGATTAGATTTTTATACGAAAAATCTATTCATTCATCCCAAACTCTTTGCCCCAAACACTTCACTTTTAATAACCTTCTGTAGGATCCAAAGTAAAATGGAAATGTGGAATCTTGGCATAGGGTTGCTGTCCAAAGACTAAATGTGTACAGAGCTGATTATTTGAAAGCAGACAGTCACGGGCTTTCAGGCAGCATGAAGAGATGTTGAAAGCCCCAGGAGCACAAGCCACTGAGGCCAGGATCTCAAGTGGTACTCAAAAAAAGACATTCCCCTGTCAATACAATTTTCAATGAGAAATACATGGTCAAAGCAGAATATTTCATTCCAGAAACATGGTGTCCTTTTCTCTGGAAGAGGTGTTTCTTTTCTTTTTGTTTGTGTTTTTTTTGTTTGTTTTTGTTTTTTTACCAGCATTCTAAAATTTCTGGTTCATGAGAGGGGTAAAAATCAGAACAGACAACCCCCTCCATAACTACCTGTGTGATAGAAGTGCAGCATTTTCACTGTTCTCTCAAACTCTAAAGCTTTCTCCTGCAAAAGGCCATACACTTATGGTCAAGTGCTAAGTAATCACAATTGGCAGCTGCCTGTTCTCTGAGTCCAGGCCATGTTTTAGATAATTTAGCTTGCAAAAGTCATGCTAGTTGTTTTCACTGTATCATCGGCTGCCAACCTTGCTTGGCACTTGAAAACATTTCAGAGACCTCTTCCTGTTTGCTGAAAAAAAGGGTTACGGCTGAAGTCTAATCTGAGCTGATAATTCAGCAGATAAAAACATTCCAGTCTGCAATACAACTCTTCACTCAAAGGTCTACATAAAGATATTTGATATACCCTGCTTTCAAAATTATTGAAGCACATAAGCTTCCATGCCTCCACTAACTTGCAACCTTCTAGGAGATAGGTGTCTCCTGAAGTAAAACAAAAAAGATGGAGCCTTAAAAAGGGAAAACACGGTTGCTTTCAGTAAAATCTAGAGCACAAATGAACACAGAGATGGAAAGGACTTATCTGATAATTAGTTCAAGTCCTACAAGACTCCTACAAGATCTCTAAACCTACTAAACCCCTTTCGTGAAGCAATGAAGTTTTTGCCTTTCTTCCCCATTTCCCAGTATCATCCTCATTTCTAACACAGAGGGCTGATCTGTTCAGTGGTGTATGCAGTCTTCCCTCTCATCACCCATTTTCTGAGAAAGCAACCTCTCTCGCCCAAAACTTAGGCAAGCCTGACTCTACAGGTCTCCTTTGGCAAGACAGTGCTCCATTTTGTTGAAATGAGGTCTCTTATACATGCTTTAGAGGAGTATAGTAGTTTGACAAAGAAAGGCAGAAGAAAAAAATGCAACAGGTTGATTAACATGGAAAAGTAAGATGCAGTCCCTGGATTTGTAATTCATCTTCCTGAAATAGCAAAAGGCAAATCACTACTTCACTCTCTCTCTATCCCCCACCTACCTGCAAATAGAGAAAATTCCAAATTCTGTGTAATGCTATCAAAATCAATGTGTCTGCAGCATATATTAATAGAGCTGTATGAGAAGCAAAGCAAATCATGCAGTCATCCAATATTGTTTCATCATGCCAGTTAAAAAAATGTTAAGTTTTATTCATCACCAGACACTTTAAAGTTTTTCTTGTGTTGCCTAGTCTTTTTACATTTATTACTTGTTGCATGCCATAAACCTAGATCACAGTCAAGGGTGAATGGAAAGCATGAACCTAATGTCACCATCCAAGAATTTTTGTGCATTAATATTATCTATGTCTTAATGTTAATGTAATGATGAAGGTGTGTGCATGTTTGCAAAATGCCAGTGCAAGACTTCTGGACACATTTAAAGCAACGTTCTCCATCAAATTAAACTCTTCATATCCCTTCAACATATAATCTACTCGAGGCTATTTTTTATTAAGAAAATGTAGTCATCCATGAACAATTCCTGAAGTAAACTTACTTCATGTGCTGACAGCTTACAACTCAAACTGATACATTTTTTAGCTATATCAGGAGGACGGGGGAAAATGAACTTCTATTTTCAAAAGAGAATTTAGCCAAATATTTCACCTGACTACCAAAGAGGAATTAAACCTGTATGATTTGTGAGGCTTCTTTGAGTCTTTAACTATTGTTCTCTTTCAGTATATTTATCTAAACGGCTCAAAAGGATACATTCAAATTTATAGTGAAAATCACAACATACATTGAAATACCCATTTCAAGAAAAAGTGCTTAGAAAATTGCAATTCTCTGTCTGAGCAGAGTAAGTTAATAGGTGCAAAATGTTTTTAATCAGAAGCAGAGATATTTACACTAGATTTGACTGAAATAGAAGGCAGAGAAGTTTGGATGGGAAGGAAGAAAATCAGTTGGCAAGGGAAAGCATAAACAATTTTTATTTTTTTTTGTCTCAAACTTTGGACAAAAAACCTATGCTGAATAGAGTTTGGACATTACCACACACATGCACTCCCCTCCTCTGCCTTGTTACATGCTTCCTAAGGGATACTTGACAAATGCCTATAAAATCAACAGAAAATCCAAATCTAACATCTTCTCACTGTGAGCCCACACAGCCTGCTGCCGATCATGCAGACCATTTGGCAAGCACTGGATCTGCAGGAGAGCAGCTGCTCCAGCCACTCTCTTCCAGTAACATCAGAGATATGAGGACTTTGGGAAAAATTAACAAAGTGATCAAAAATGGAATAAAAGATGTTAAGAGTTTTCCTCCCTGTAAACATCAAATCATCCTTCATGCCAAACTGACTTTAATATTGTTCTAAAACTGGAGATATTGACAACTGAAGCCACTAAAATAGATAAACAGTCTAAAATATCCCCAGCCTCAAAAACAAACAAACAAAAAAACAAACAAACAAAAAAAAAACCACACAGTACAAGGCACGGAGAGGAGTACTGCAGAGCACATGGCAGCTTAAACGCAGGTATGTTCACATCAAATGCACACATGTACCACACTGAACTGGCTTCTCCCCCACTGGAGACTCAGGCTGTTTTATAAAGTCCTAAAACAGAGGTTTTATTTTATTTTTAATTTTTATTTTTTTTTTTTTAAATTTACAGATTTACACTGACTCCAGTCAGGCCACCATGCAGGTGTACTGGTGGGGTTAGCAGCTCTGCCTGGGACTGCTTTTCAAGTGCGGCACTGAGGCAACAAAATCTCAGTATTTATCCCACAGCCTCTCCTGCAGTTTACACATATCTTATCCCCAAATCCCAGGGTGCCCACATTCTGGACTCCAGAACAGCTCGGAAAGAGCACATGGTGGATGAAAATAAACACACTTTCCTGAGGAGATTCAGAAGCCACACTGCTTTTAACTTGCATGCACAAGATATATACATATTTAAACAAAATAATAACAAAACTGGAGCACATTACCTTATTTCTTTACCACTATAAAGCATTCTTTAATGTGGTATCATATTCTCTAAAATGGTTTAAGAGCTTTCTGGGCAGTTCATTATTTGTTTGGAAACATCAAATATTTGTAGTTCAACTTCCCTTCTCTGATCTTGATTGGCCTTACCTAAGCTGTGCCCATTTATTTCTCAGCTGACCCTGAGGGGCTTATATGGTCCACTTTGATTTAATGGGACTTTGCTTTCTCTCTAGAAATCTCCCATTTCTCCAGACACTGCAAGGATGGACCCCACTAACCTGTTACCACAATACAGCCTTTGCTGCAGCCGCCCACCTTTAAGACTCAAAAACTCTTGTCTTAAATATGAGATGTATACCAGCCTTTCTGCAGAGGTGAATATGCTTTCACAGGGATGCTTCTAAACAATACTGCAATTTTGTGCTCTATAATTTCAATCAGGATTCACCGGCAGCCTATTCAAGAGAGCTATTACCCACAGCATCACACTGTGCATTACCAAAAGGTTCACACTACTACATGCATCACTCACATCATGTTATACATTGCAAGCGTGAATGTTCGTACAGGGCTCGACACAGTACTCGCTGCATAAATACCTGTCACACCGCCTCCTCCCCATTGCGAACCATCTACAAAACGCTGATTCCTCAAAACTCAAGGGAAACCCCATGCTTGAGGTTAAACATGTGCTTACACAACAACTGGAATGATATGAACACAAGGGTCCCGTGAGGCCTTTCACCCCACCTAATTGATTTAACAAAAGCCAGAGTCTAGAAAGTTATTCCCAAACTTTACTGCAAAATTTACCAGAATCTTCTGTGATACTGCAAATACACACACAGACTTGTTTACATCCTCTTGATCTGGTTTACTTACTCTATTATTACCAGCCTTGTTCCAAATTAAATCAGTCTTACCGAACACAAAGCTGCTTTTCCCCATTTTTCTATTAATGTTTTTTAATGACCCTTTCATGTTCCCTTCTCTTTAGGCTGGCCTTTTTTGGCCATTTCTGAAAAAGCTTTAACTCTCCTTAATCTCCAGAGCAACCACTTTCCCCTGAGCTTGCTTTGTTTCCAGTTTTGATTTTATACTCCCATGGTAGCGTTCACTCTTCACATATTTGTTTACAGAACAAAAGCCACCAGTCTTTAAAAGCACTGTGGAGTAGAAAACACCCCTTTTAGGTAATTTTATTCAGCTGTGCCAATAACAACAGCTATCTCTAGTCAATCCTACTGTGATGTGCAATTACTTTCTTGGAGCAAAAAGAAGCAAGACAGAACAAAGGCATGCATAAAACGTTACCTTCGGAAGATGATGTGGAAACATACAGAACAACTCAATTATGTTTTCAGACCTATACAGCATATAGCACTGATGAAGTACAGACACTTCAGCAATTTTCTTTCCAATCAACCGACTTTCTACTAAAATGGGTTGGCAATGATTGTTACGTTAGGAAGGACTATAAACACTGCCAACTAAGGCACATATAGATCACAAAACCTGTTTATCCCCAAATCTGTGTTGCTTTGTACAGAGGGGAAAAGAAATGCAAGTTGCTCCCAATGTTTGAGTGATATACATGGCAAAAGTAACTTACAGACAGCAAAGGGATGGCAACTTTTCCAAGAAAATCAGGGGGTTTATCTCCATCTTCATCAAATACTGTCACTTCCAGAACATCATGAATATCTTTAATAGGGCTGTAATGAAAAGCACAGACGAAAAATGATATTTGATATACATGCACAGTCTTCTCCACAAAGATCTGAGAACACTGTTTTACTAATTAAGTTTGTATTACCTTGGAGTATAAAACTAGCATTTAATTAAATTCCAAAAAATTGAATCAAATGATGGGTATTCCCCAAGCTTTCCCCTTGTGTTGTAGTCACATAACTAGGTGAAGAAAATAACAACTACCAGTGACATTTTCTGTGCACTGATGTAGATTTTAAGAAAGTAGAATTCCGCTCTCAAACAGAAAAAACTGGTCACCAAGAATATCCAGGGCTGAATTCAAAACTAGGCTTCAGGACAGTAAGTATACAAGAAAAATAATTCATGAAACAAACCTTATATAATTTCATTTGACTTGAGCTATTATTTTCCTCTTAACATACTAGCAAAACCAATTACTTAAAAAAATCTAACAACCCTAATTAAAGGCCAAACATACAATATTTGTGTTACATTCAATGCAAACGCTTGACCAACGTGGCGGCAGGCACTCAATCCTGAGCATTTATCAGATTGTTAATAAATCAGTGCCTCATTTGAGAAAAGTTATATGCATGCCTGAAAAATCCTGGGTAACCAGAGATGACTTATGAGATGCATTCATTATCTCTTTTCCTTTTCCCATGTGCTAGAATTAAAGAAAAAGGCGCTTGGTATATAGTGCGTCTGTTATTTAACAGAGTGCAACCACTCTATCCAGAAGGCTATTTCAGAGCAGTTTTGCTCCTGGGCCCTCCGCTTGTGACACCGTGTTGTGGGTTCTCGTGAAGCACAGTCAGGACCTAAAAGCCACCTGGTTGTCCCTCCAGCTAGCAGCCACAGCATGGTCTTCAATGTGACCCGCTGGTGGCAGCCAAACTACCATGATATGTACTATTTACGAGACACTGTCATTAAATTACATCAAAAACCCCTTGCTTCAGCAACTGTCCATATTCCTCTACAAGTCATTACAATTTTCCACACAATATAGCTACCAGTGAAATAAAATATTTCTTAAGATGTGTCATACAGGTAAGTGTGTTACAGAAAATCTGAATACGATGGGAAGGGCTCTCTGGTAGTGCTGAATGCTCAAGCTGAAATGGATTCAGAACAATCCACTCTGCTCCAAAAGAAATCTAGATCATCAACAGCTTTTAAGGTGTTTGATCTCAATTAAAGAAAAGCCAAAAATCTGAACAGAGTTGTGAGCGCCTGACTGGCTCTGTGGATTTAGTGCTTAGAGTAGCTGTGCAACAGCAGTAAGAAAGTTAGTGAAAGTCCACAGCTGACATTTCTGGGACCCTCAGGAAATACAGAAACAAATTGTTTCTTAAAAAAATTATTTTGGATTCTTAATAGGTTTATTTTATTGGCTGAACATCCAAAAAGACTCATCTGTTGGCCCAACCTCAGAATAAACAATGATGAGTGGAAGCTTCTTGAGAACAGACAGAGAAAGAAAAGGACTCCAAGAGACATGCATTCAGCTGCATGCATGAATTAAACAGAAATCCAGCAAAGTACTTCTATCAAAGGGATCAGATACTTTTTATTGCATTCACATTCAGCTAAGTGTTTTGGAATGTTGTTTTTGCAAGAAGTCTGTGATTCTCAAACTGTTCTTCCAACGGACAGGTGTAAATGTCATAAATGTTCAACTGCTAGCCCTCACATTTGCGTTCTTTTCCACAGACTACTATAATCTTGGAGACATTTATCCCACTCAGTTATTCACAAAAATCTTTGTCAGCATAAGAGAAGACAAATTTCACTGCCAATAACTGTCACTTTTTGTTACTAATGAAGTCACCCTAAAAATGCACCCTTTAATTATCTTTAAAATCTAAGCTTCTTATTTGGGTTAAGCAATCTTTGACTAGTTTAAATTCATAAGATATAACAGGAACAACGTGAGCTCTAATTTTCTGCTTGCTTACAAATTAAATGAGGTATTTTACCATGGTTCAATGAAACATTTTATTTTAAATTATGGAAAATGTAGGCGTGAGTATCTGGTCTCCACTTTCTGTTATATTATCTCTTAGATCCAGATATGACTCCATTATGTCTAGTCATGATTCTTCCTATAAATATCACAGTAATTCTTCTTTTAATGACTTCTATTAATAAACTCCATGCAAGAACTAGTAAAAGGCAAATGCTTTAATTGAGTTATATTTGATATTTCTCCAACATCCTCTTCTGACTATGAAAAAATGACATATCTTAAACTTGACCTTTGTATTTTTCCAAAGTCAATAGCTTTTGTAGATAAACTGCTAACTGTTTGGCATTTCAGCATGTTTTCAAAAGCAATCTACTTACAATGTGAAAACTTTGTTCCACTCTGGGTTGAGGTTCTTGTAAACAGTGTGCGTTTGAAGACTGTCATTTCCCAGCTCCAATACACAGAAAGGATCACTTTTACCTAAGGAAAGATCACAGTGAAATTAGAAATAAATAAATAAATAAATAGATAGATAGATAGATAAATAAATAAATAAAAAACTGGACCAGTTACTGTAGTTAGCATGCATACTCTTTCTTTGCAGTACAGCTGTGGAACTGACTGACCAAATAAGAATAAGACCCATTACTATGATCGGAAACTGTCTCCCACTGTTGGAATGACTTGCTAAACAATATCACCAACGCATCTTCAGTCCTGGAAACAGTAACACTTACCTTATAATTCATTCAGGTGACTTCACTTGAATACTTGAAATATGAAGCTTACAGTGAATAATCTCTAAATCTTTATAGCAAGAAAAATCTGCTCTAGTTGACAACTACTCAGACAACATTTTGAAAGCAGCACTGTCATCCTCACCCAGGTAAGTGCGAGGGCTTCAGTTACAGTTGTTTAATCCCGTGCTTAGAGTTTGCGGTCTTCTCCAGTTGAACAGAGGATTAAGTACCCACACCATGAAAAAAGAAGCACGGCATTGTGTCTGTATCAGCAGCATTTCTCAAGGCAGTTCAACATGAGCAAGTTCTTGAAGCTATGCATACCCTACACAGCATCACAGCTTAAATAAAACCCATCTACTGAAGAACCAACTGGAGAATTCAGGTGTGAACCAGGTAAAGAACTTAAAACAAACCAAAAAAAAAAATCAAAACAAACTAGCTCTCAAAAGGAGAATGCTAGCATGGATGGAACCTGTTGTGATGAAGACATGTTTGCTAATGTGTTTTGTTTTTTTTGATAACTCATTACATGAATTTGTAGCTTTCACAGCTTAACACAGCTCAGCAGTTTCCAGCATGAACAAAGTTCCTTTTATCAGTGTGTCTGGCTCAATATCTGACTTAATCTCAACTTCAGTGTTCATGCATAACTCAGACACAGACACTCCAGCCTGACTTTCATGCATGCAACTAAGTATGCCAGCAATGCAGGGATTTCAACAGCAGACAAAAAAACAATATTTAAGCAAAAGCTTTTGTTTTCTTCATCTTTATTTTTGGTATTATTAATGCAGACATTTTAAGGTTCTTATAATAAGAAGAAGTTTATAGAATAAAATGGAATCTTTTCAGTATGTAAACAGTGGATATTAACTAGTCAATATTGGTAAACTTTAAAAACCATGTATATTACTAGAATCTATTTGTCTTCTCCCTTTCAGCTTACGTGCCCATTCCCCAATAAGCAGCCCTTCAGAGAAACTGCTTGAAATGCAAACTGGTATATGCCAAAAACAATCCCACTGTATAATTTGGTATTCTGAATGCTATTTTTTGGTCAGTGAGCAAATGCAGTGTTTGAGAAGAACTCTCATGCGTACACAGCAAACATCCAACAAAGCAGAAAAAGTCATTTTCATGTCAACAAAACTATTATCTAGGAATATAAAAGTATGGAAGGCTCAGCCTGGGCTAGCCGTGGCTGAAGAGCTTCTACATATCTGCTATATCTCTGCACGGAATATCACCTAAAATTTACATCAAATGTTAAAGTATGGATTTTCAGAATCACTGTTCAGAATCAAAGCAGAAACTATGATTTTTTCTGATAACTATTATAACAGTAGGATAAGAACTTGCAATTAAAATCTGTAGTGCCAATATGTATTAACTGACAACAGAAACCCTAATCGCACCAAAGTCTAATATTTATTATGGGAGTAAATAACAAGCTATGAAGGTGGAATAACACTTCTCGTGAGATGACTGGTCTGCAGTTTACGTACCCTAGACCTGTGACCGCTGTGGGACAGAACAAGGAGGGAACTCCACCTGCTCAGATGGCTCCCCTGTTAACCCTTGGAAATCTTCACACCCCTTGTCATCTCCACAATTATTCCTTTATCAGATTTTTAGCTGGACTTTGAATTTACTTTTATCAATAACAATAAATCTGAGCAGTCTCCCTGGCAATGCAGGAAATATGGCACTGCTCTAGGAGGGCTCTATTATGGAAACCCGTAATTGCTGCACTAATCATTTATGAATGGCTCAGAACAGATAATTAATCTTTATGTCTCTCATTTCACGATCAGAAATTATGCTATTTTTACCTAAAATGGCTGCATCCTTTTGCAATTTGGTGGGTCTATTACAGCATAATACTAGGATATTTTCAGCACTGCCATTGAAAAACAATTTGTCATTTGCTTCATGAATCAGGCTCAAAGCCTGGGTTATTTTGAATATAATGACAGACTGAGTAACCTTTTACTTAAGCAGAATTTCATTCTCTGCTATGCACAAGGAATGTATGTCACATACTCCATATAAAAAGTCTTCGAATTGCAGAATCAGGAACCTGTGTGTGTCTTCCAATGTTCATTATCCACCCACATGCTCCTGTCGAAGTACTGAGGGAAAGGGGGCCAAATCCATCAACTGCATTGACTGCAACTGCATTAGCATCAGTCAAGTTTTCCAATCGCCCAGGCTCTGTTCTTTCCCTCAACAGTGTCTAGATTGAAAATGCACCTATTTCTAGATGTCCCTAGCCTTGTCATTTGACAAAAGTTCTGCTTTGCTGTGATACAACATCTGCACAAACCACCTTTACTTATTGGCAGGGTTTTTTTGTTTTCAAATCAAGTTCTTCAGTTTTTAAAAATACTAGTATCTGCAGTAACCTTTTCTTCACATACAGGGCTAAGCAGTGAATTGAAACTGAAATAGTATCATGGTTAATAGTATCTTTGGTCCTTATTCTAGGAACAATGTTCTCCTATGTTGCATTTTCTCTCTAGCATCTTCCCTGCCTTTTTCAACAAGTTATCTTAAAAAAAAAAAAAAAAGAAAAAAAAAAGACTATGTCAGCAAATACACAACACACAATGTTGTGTCTGTGAATTATACGCTGCTGCAAAATACAGAGGGGAATTAAAAGGTCTCCAGAATCCTGGAGAAGATGATAAAAATAATAATATCAGGCAGTTGCTGCAGAGAAATAACAATTCTCTATCTCTTCCCCAGAGAAACAATATAAAATTGTATTTTTAAATGGTGTTAGTGTCCATTGCTGTCAGGACTAGGCACAATGTGAGGTAAAGCACAGTGGAAGATCTACCCTTTTCACAGAGTAAAAGCTGTGAAGATCATTCCAAATTGAAGCTTCAAACAAGCTCTAGGAGAAACCATCACACTCTTCCCCATTAATAGGGATCTCTCTGTATTCCCCCCAGCCCACCAGGTGACAGCCTGCAGTGCCACCCAAACCCACACAGTCAGCATTGCGTCAGATGCCCCCAAAATCCTTCCCCTTATTCACAAACTCACAAGGCACCCAACAAAACGTGAGGATGGTCCTGTGCAGGCATCATCACTTCACATAGTCACTTAGTTTACATATTGTCATTTGAAACTACAGAAGTGACCAATGCAACAATGGCATTTCCCATAGCACAGTTATCATGGATAAAACCACAGAAAAAGTTCATGCTCATGCAAGCACTTTTTCTAGAGCTGGACTTGACAACCTGTATCAAGCTTTCCTTTTCCTGCTGCAAGGACTAAATGTGTTTTTGTTTCATTTGACACCATATTATTCCTACTGCAGTATACACAAGCTGGTGACATGCTGTGCCCACCAGCCACCGAGTCTCCTTGAACAAACAGTAGAAAACAGATGGCAGTATTCGATATACACCTCCTTAGGTGTAAATACAGGCAGCCTGAAACTTGCTGCGCTTCTGCAATGAGGCTTACAGGAAGTAAATCAAATCTCACAGCACCTACAGAGGAACATTTACTTCTGTTCCAACTATCTCATTTTGTATTTCAGAAAGTAGGCACACAGATAAGCCACTGTGTAATACAAATTTGATCAAGACATCCTAAGTTACTGGCCATGTCAATCAGATCCAAAGGGGAACCAGAACACCAACCAGTGGACCTTTCCCACATATTTGGGGAGTTAAAGTCAAAATCATTTGGTATCCCAGTTTCTTGGGGTTTCACACTGCAGAGAAGTGATCAGAAAATTTACTTTTCTACATTCAGCTTACAGTACTGCACAAAGTGTAAATAACACTTAGGACATATTACTGCATCATGTGCTGAAAAACAGAAATGGAATACCTGCAAAATCTGCTGCCAACAGGTCAACTGCCTTTAACACTTTAACTTGTAAGAAGCCAACATCCTTTATGTCCCGAAAGGAGTTCTTTATACACTGTTAAGAGGAAAGAATTTAGTTTAGGATGTGTATTTTTAATTCAGTAAGAAACAAATTGATGAACTACTGAGAAACTTTATGTTTTTGTATTTATTGATATTTCTACATCATTTCTCACTGCAGAGCAACCATGTGTATCATGACAACCTAAGACAGCATCTCCTAAGGAGATTCATAGTTCACTTAAATTACACGTTAATTTTATAATGGAGATGGGAATGAGTCCTGCTTATTTATGGAAGTATTATGGAATTGGATTCGATGATCCTTATGGGTCCCTTCCAACACGGGAAATTCTATGATTCCATGATTCTATTATCTGTACATAAAATAAAAATAATAAAAAAAATAGACATAGATCTGAAGAACCAGTAGAGGTTGAGAAGGTAGCACGCTCAATCAGGAGTTCTCAAAAGTATTATTAACTTGTTTAAATTCATCATGCTCTTCTCTCTTCATGATATTCAGTCTCTCATTCCCCATGATAATCTCTTAATACAATTCAAGTTTTTACAATTCAAGTTTTCAAAGGAAAGCTTTAGTTTAAAACTCAACAAATACAAGCAGACAAATTGCTTGTCTATCTGCCCTGCCAATCTCCTTGTCATCCTAAACATAACTACTCCATGTAACAGTTTTCTCTGGTAGGAGACATTATTATGACTGGAAAATTTTTTCCCCCCTCTCTTTTTTTGGCTGCAGTTTTAACTACTTTCAAGTATAAAGGGAAAAAAAAAAAAAAGACAAAAAAATGGAAACTCACATAACGCTGTGAAATCTGTTTTCTTTCACTGGGGTCTTCCAAAGGGCAGACACAGAGATCAGAGATGGACACTCCCGTGCATGGGGCAACAGCAATCAGCATTAGCAGGGACCCCGGATGTTTTTCCAGAGGCAGCTCTAAGCAATTGGTCTGCTTTATTGGCAGGGCAGTAATATCAACTTTGCACCTAGAACAACATTCCCAAAGGTTAATGAGTAAGAAAAGATAGGAAAAAAATAAATTTAAATTAAAGATATAAAAAACATTTGATATTGATTTCAGTAGCAAGTAGGCATTAAAATCTTTGTCGTGCTAAGCAGTATTTTAAATATTGATGTGTGTATATAAAATTTGAATTGCTTGTTCAAGATCAAGAGAACGCAAGAAAAATAAAACTCGAAATTAGACATGGGAAACAAATCAGCCAGTTTCCATTGCATTTACTGTCAGTTTTGCTTTCTGGTTCATCTGGTGGTAAACCTGAGGTAAAAGGTTTGGGCTGCAAGCTGTACAGTAGGAAAACTTAACTCTGGCCTGCCTCACTTCCCCTCTAAAATACCCTAGTGCTTTGTGATGAATTCAAAATGCAATTTTATTTCACCTGGGGGAAAAGAAAAGGGGCAAACACAAAATTTAAAACATTAGCCTAAAATAGATTAGTTTCTTTAAAGTCACATACTCCATTTTATGCTACATTATACTGTATGCCCCAATCTCTTTTACAAGCCTTACTAGAGCTACGTATTCAGTGTACTGTTATATTTCCCAAAGGGAAGGATGGTCTTAAAAGTCTTCCCCCACCCCTAGCACACAGCATGCATCATTAGCCTGATACTTAAAAAAAAAAAAAAAAAAAAAAATACATTTATGAAGAGACAATAATAAAAGATAAGGATGGGCTAAAGGAGACATCAGCAGACAACCAGTTATATGTGAAGAGAGCAGTTAAATGCCACAAAGTCTAATCACTTTGCTCGGCTAAATGCCTTCTATTTAGAAGTCCAGTAAATGGAGTGGAACTTTTTTGAACCTCTGTGGGGCTTGGCTTTTAAGAACGAGCTGAACAAAAGTTACAGATGAAAAGAAAAAAAAAGAAGGAAGGAGAAGCTTTGTTGCCACAGTGCAAACGGAGTCACATTTCTCAAAGGGACAGCAAGCGGATGATGGAGAGAGAGAGTTTTCGCTCCGCTTAATGCCTGCCGACAAGTTTTTATTTAAACTAAACTTGTTAAGGTGTTGTCTTAATAGGCTAAAATTCCACAGGGTTCCCCCAGGTGGGTTTCTTCTGGGTAAATGGTGCATGTAGTGTTCCTGATTGATCCCATTCCAGTAGTAGAGCTGGAGCAGTTTATACCCATCTGCTATAAATTGCATGCTTTCCGCTTCTTAACAGCCTATTTTCTGTGAATGCTAAGGGGGGTGAAAAAAAAAAATCCCCAAACATTTCAGCCTTAAAACCCAACAAGCTATGTTATGAAGCAAAAGTCATTGCTCTGATGAGTTTGTAAGTCATCCAGGAGCTCTGTGTATTAAAACCCAGTTCTTTGTGTAAGCTGCTTCTGACCAGAATCAACAGGGATGGCTTTGCCTAAAATATGCTCCTGCTCTCTTCACTGTGCTGAGCGTACAACAGGTTGGAAGTTTACCCTTATTAACTGCTTTCAAGTGCTTTGAAAGAGAAACAAACCGGGGAGAGTACCAACACTGCTCAGCACGTAGGCTGCCTCTCAACACGGTTTCCAAGAATGAGAGGTTGCATTTAAAGCTCATTGCTATGCCTAGACACTTCAGAAAGATATGACAAGAAAAGAACCATCAGAAAGGAAAACAACAAACAAAAAAGGCAAGCATTTAAGAAAGACCTTATCACTTTCACAACACAGGTCAGCATCACCTTGGCTGCATTAACACTGTTGCTCCTCCGACTGCAGCAGTTTTACTGATACTTGAAGTATCAGTGCAAAAGGGGGAATGCATCATTATCTCATTTTTTATTTTTATTTTTTACAGATGAAGACACGGAATCAAGGAGAGGGGAAAACTCAGGGTCACCCAGCTGGTCTGTGGTTCAGCTGGCAACACTGGCCACATCTCCCACATCGGCATTTCATACGCCACCCACTCAACAAAGTGTAGAACTGGGAAAAGCTGCATTTGCTTTTTATGTTAAGAACTTTCCATGGGGGAAAGAGAGAGGAAAAGACAGCTCTTTTAAACAACAGTGCATTTCTCACCATAAGATAACCTCAGAAATTTCCCGTATCTCAAAGGCAAAGTTAAATATGATTCTAGTTTGTTTTGGCAAATTGGAATTGTTTCACTTATTCAAAGAATTTCATTAGCCAAAGGTCAAAGAAAAGATTGAGTATAAGGGTGTGGAGGTAGGAGGGATGCACATGTGGAGGGGAAAGCAGCAGGAGATGGAGTATAAGCATTTCTTCCTCAAATCATGTCTGATTTCCGAGCAAACTAACTTCCTTAAAACATCTGTGTTCACTCAAGGTATGTCTCCGTATTTTCTTTTGAGGAACTGAAAAGAAAATCCACATTTGCACTTGCAAATGGCTTAAGAAAAAAGAATCTGTTTCATGTAGGTTAAACAAGGCAATTGATCACACTGTAAAGGATGCATCTTGGTAAAAAAAAAAATTAGATATTCAATTTGCTATATAAATTCATCACTTTACACACAAGCACTTCTACACTACGAAACAGAGTCTAATGATTTCAAAACTATTTCCCTCATCCTCCTGAAAGATAAACTCTTCCTTTCCCTTTTTCTCAGCTTTATATCTGAAAGACTATGTTTCAGATAACTTTTTCCACAGGAAAACGGCAAGAAATTATGATGATGGGCACAGAATAAAACTAATGGAGACTATCCTTATTTTTTGCTCAGAAGCAGCCTGATCTAAATCCAAGGGGACAAACTATCAGATTATTTGCACCTGAGGTGATGCAAATGATCTCCTGAGTTAAATTCTGAACATAGCAATCCCATCTCAGGATAGGACAGCTCTGCTTGTTGACAACTTTCCCTGAATTACATATTAGATTCAATAATCTTTCAGACACAGCCATATGCATGATCTACAGGGGATACAGGTCTGTAAGCTAAGAGCACGTTGTGAAAACAAATGTACCACCTTTCTTACCACGATTAATTAAATGCTTTCCTCCCTTTTCTTGATCAATATAGAGGTCTAAGCCTCTATTATTGACCTCTAGTCCTGTAGAGGATTACACCACCACTTTAGTTTTCATTTATGATTGTTCTTTAGACTTTCTGACTTACAGCCTTCATCTTTACTGAGAAACTCATTCTCCCCCAACCCACCCCTTTCCCCCTTTTTGGAATCAATTTTGAAGAGATGCAAATTTTACTTCAGAACAGTATGTACTAAATTCGGAGTGAGCTGTTTAACTTTATCAGGGAAGAAAATGTTAAAATTTCACTAAAAGGTGCTGGGCTTAGCCACTTATCAGTAGTCGTGGAGTTACATTTTATTACCCAATCCATAGTTCATCAAATTATGATGAGCACATGTCTTTAAATATATATACGGTATCATTTACAAGTATATATCATAACACCTACACAAAACATTGCCTTTTTTTCCCTCCCGAATTCTTGGAGCCCTTCACAAAAGAGGTCAGCATTACTACCACAATAGACAGTAACTTGTGTCCAAGATTAATATTTGGAAGGGGATTTCAAATGCCACAGGTGTCAGAAAGGCAATTAATATGGTCCCATTCTGACTGATTCTAGACATAAATTTGGTGAAATTTAAATGAAAGGTTTGCGCCCAGCCACCAAAGATTTTACTGCTTAATCCCAACTGCATGGCCTTCAGAACAGATTTTTTCCAGGTCGCAAAAACACCCTTTACCAGAGGCATACCTCAAAGATACCAGACACACTCCCACCTCATAGCTCATCGTCTTAAGGCTTACGATTTTTGTAAAAGCTCTTTCTTGATGTAAATTTGTGGAGAAAAGAACCACATTCTGTAGTATAATTTTTTTTCAAAACATATTTCTTAATGCAGAAACACTCCCTAACAACTTGGCATAAACAATTTAACTCAGCCTCGACAAATTCTGCACACGTTAACACCTTTGTTTATTAATATACATTAACATCATCTCCTGTTTATAGCTTGCCTCTTATCCCAAAGGACACAAAAAACATTCCGCAACTGTTACTAGCAGATCTGTGCAGACTAAATAGAGGGATTATTTCATCCAGCACCAAAATACAGCCACCCCTCAGTGTCAGACTGGCAGCTGAACCACTCAGTGCTGCAGTATATTAAGTAAGGAAGAAAAATTGGATCCCGTTGGAAACATAGGGAAAAAGTAGGTAGGCTGAATGTAATAATCTAGATTGCATTGCACACTGACAATGAGGGTTCATTTCATGATCGGAGAAGGGTGACATGAAATCGCACTGAATGCTTTCTCACTAATTCAGAAGTAGACAAATGCCCCAGGTGTTAGTGTTTAGTACCAAAGGTCCAATACATTTCTTATTCTATATATTCCATAGGCTTCAGGTTTTATTTCAAGAACAATATTTTACCTTAAAACAAATTATGCCTGGGAAAAAAAGACATGTTGCAAAGGGTTTAAAGCATCCATCCTACACAAAATCCCAGGTCTAATGGAACTAACAGGAGTCTTTATTCCACAGAAGTTCAGCAACATGGATCATCAGAAATGACTCCACCTTGTGAATCTATCTCTTCATTTTAATATTAAAATATATATGCTTTTTTATTATTTTATTTTTATTTAAAGAAGGTTTAACCAACAATGTCCTGCCTACACAACCCTGGGAGAGCATAATGAATTTTACTCTATCCATAAGTTAACCACAGAATTATTAGTTAACACACAGCAAATTTTGCCTTTTCCTTAAAAATATGTGAATATTATTTTGGGGCATACTGCTGTATGTAATGACTGAATACAACACACTATGAGAAAGATTTTACTAAATCTTTCTCATAGGGAAGTTGTGCAATCCAGAAATTTCAAAACTCAACTTGGAAGTCATGGAGACAAACACGGCACCTCAATTCTGTTTTTCCTACAGAATCATTTTCCAGATTACTGCATCTGAACCACTCATAAAAACATCATTTATTGGGTATCAAAAGTTTCTGCATTGTGCAAACATGGCTGGTTATGATGCATTTCTTACTTGTATTCGCAATTGCTCTTTAAAATCTAGTAAACTTTTTTCCTGATGTGATGCTACAGTGAAGTCTGCTGTGCTTAAGGCAGCAACAGCAATATTTTCTCTCTGCTGACAGTAAAAATAACTTAAAGATAGATCTAATACACGGAGGGTTTCCCATTGCTGAAACCTTTAATAACACCACTGTTCATAGCATAAGGAGTTCGCTGATCATTTTTTGCCACCCTGAACATCACCTGCCTGAAACTAGTAGGAAAAAAGGAGGAAAAAAAAATAAGGAAATTACTCCACTGTCAGGGAGACAAAACTGAGGCAAGCCACAAATGTTGCTATGTTTCTTAACTCCAAACAGAAAATATCAGAAGTAATACAAGTAACTGTGAGAATGGAAGGAACAGATTCATCTCCAGCCACTTCTCCATGTGATGAACAACAGCATTCAGCCAGAAAGCATTTCCTGCTCTGCAAAACCACAAACATTTGTAGAGCCAAAGGGCATTGTTCTTTTCAGTGAATAGTTTCAAACTATTTGAATACTTAAAGCAAGAGAGTGTTCTTATTAGTTGCTGCTATTTGGTCAACAAGTTGTGAAATACTCTCCAGGTGAGAATGCAAACTGCAGACAGCATCCGTGCTGCTAAGAATTTAGAGGTTGGGGCAGTGATCCTGCAAGTGCATAAAGCACAAACAGACCCAAGCAGGGCTCTAGTAAATTAAATGGCCCTCAGTGCTGTTGTATGTAGCCAGCAGCGCAGTTTGGGGAGATTGGTCTAGATGCCTACATTGCAAGCCAAAAGAAGGGAGGACAGCAATAGGAGGAAAGATAGAGTTACTCTAGAAAACCAAGACTGTATTTCTACTGTACAAATAGGATGTAGTCAGCAGACAAGAATAATCAGGATTTAACAGTAGGAACCATATTCTATTCCCATTAAAAAATTAAAATAAAAGGTTTAACTATAAGCTGCTGATGTGACATAATATATAGAATTTGAAATTACAAGGTAATAATTCAGTGGGACAAAATCAGGTATAAATTATGAGAGAGAGATCATCTGTGAGGTCACCCCTGAGAACGATGCTTTAAAACAGCAGGAGCTTGTGCAACAGTGCAAGGCACTAGCCCCACACAGAGGTCACATTTTGTGGTTCGGGCAAGAGATTACCCAAACAAAGCAGACCTAAGTAATAGGACCCATATGCAAATAAGGCTACACCACCAAGGTGCAGAGAAAAGGCACACCAGCTCGACTTAACAGGAGCACAAAGGTCCCTAAACTGGCACCAATCTGAAGCAGCAAAGCAGCCCTGCAGAGAGCAACAGTGGCTGGAGCAATATCACACATGTACAGATGAACACTGCCTCCTCGATGCCACCAGCTCTCCCAGAAACAACTGCCACTGTGCTCCCACAGTATTTTGGAGTTTACTGTCTGCATGTGCAAAGTCAGCTTGGGTGTCTATGCATTCAGGTCATGGCTAATCAGTTAGCCAGTAGCAGGTTTTAATAAACATACCTTTACAGACGAATACACACATGGCCAGAATAAAGAGAGAAAAATAAAATATGATGCTGGTAATGAAAATAAATTGATCAATTTAAAATAATAAAAATCACATTGCCTTTTACATTTAACCCTCCCTCAGAGAAGAAAAAAAAAAAAAAAAAAGGAAAGAAAAACAACTTACGTTCCCAAAAGCTCCTCATGCTTTTTGTTATCCTTTCTCCAGACCTCAATGTCCAACATATCCTTCCTGTCAGAGAAGTAGTGAAAATCAAACTGTTCCCTCCACTGAGGATTTGCACTCTTACACAGTGTCTAGAAAACATGCAGTTATAATATTTACTTTTCTTAAATGGTACTTTTTTCAACAGTAAAGCACATATCAATTCTTCTACAACAACAAGGTCAGATATTAGGGCATCAAATACTAAAAAGGCCATTCAAACCAAAGCTCCGTAGCCCACCACACAAAGCCTCGTATTTCCTACAAGCTCTTTCCCCTCCTCCAATAATGATAAATATTCAAATGTGATCTCAGTGAATGGCTGGAGAAATGTTGAAATGCAAGATGGATCCACCAGTTCCACTTTCAGTGGACCACAGTCATCATTCGATATCACCCATGTTGGAAGAAATCAAGAATAAACCTTTTGAAGACAATCATCTTAAAACTGGTTTAAGTGAATTCAAGAAATCAAACAAGTACTTTTCCTGTTTGGTGTTAAGATATAGGCAAAGTAGCAACAGCTGTGAAAAATTTTAACATCCAGTGAATTCAGTATCTGTAAATTGTCCTTCTGAGTTCAGTGAGACCTTTCACATGTTCAAGTTACTCTGAGAACACAAGTATTTACCAGACTAGGACTTAAATCACTTGCAATCACTTGTATCACACTCACCATGATCAGCATGGCCACTAAGGGAATGGGTAACAGGATTAGCTGGACTATGACAGATTTACCCCACCTTGTCTGCTTTTCTTGACCATGAGATTGTACTTCATAAGTTAAACTCCAGGAAAGAACGTGAAGTACTGCCAATTTGAAATCTTACTACAGTGTTAAAGCTGCAGTCCCCAACTTTTTCTGGACTCCAGACAAAAATGCTAAGCAACTAGATCACTGCAGGCAACATTGTCCTGGACTCCCCCTCTTAAACTATTTAATTTTTTGTGACTGCAAACATTGCAGAGTCTTGCAAATTCATGACATGGTCTATGGACCATAAGGAGAAACATAAAAAGGAATCTTTACTGGAGTAACATATATTTATTCTAAAATAACTAACCCATTTGTTATTTTTGAAAGTTGCTTTTCTGAATAAAAAACATTATATCATGACCTTGGTTTGAGGTCTTTTGTGGGGGACAGAGTACAGGTTTCAGATGAGCCTACATCTGAATGTTATGTTCCGTGAACTTGCTCTGGACGTTTTGTACAGGAGGGGTTTTGTTTGTTTCCTCCTCCTCCCTCCACACTTCCAGTTCATGACACGCAGAGCTTTTGCTTTCTCAACAGAATATTTTTTATTATTATTTTTTTAGCTATAGCTTCTCTCCTTATTAGACTTCGAAGATGAAATGCAGAGCTTCGGAAACACCACGCAATGGGCTTCCTTCCCCCCCCCCCCCCCTTTTTTTTTTTTTTTAAAGGTAACATTTTTCAAGAAAAACACTTTAAAAAATGCACTAGAAGCCACTTCAGGTCTGCTTTCCCAGCATACCTAACATTGCAAACCTGACTTCTGTATTGGCAGAGAACAAAAAACACGTGTGATGCATGTTGCCTTGTTTCATTTCATATTAACATCAAACATCCATCAATACGAGTATGTTAAATGCACAAAAACAGATACACACACAATTCCCAACTTCCTATTTCTATATTGCCATGTATAACATTAGTAAAATGTTAGTGTCCCTGGCATGGTCTCCTGGTTTTGATCTCACAAAAAAGATTCAAGAATAGTTCCAAACTTAAGGAAATCCTTAGTACTTACCTTACTCTTATATCTTTGATCTCCCAGTTTCAGGAGAATAAAAACCTCTGCCAAGCCCCCACCGGGGATGTTCTTCCCTTCCAAGAGTGTGATGGTGACCAGCCCATTCCACAACTGGTTCTTCCGCAAAGAGTCAGAGAGTCGCATACTCCTCATGAAACTCGACTGAAAAGCAAATCAGGGACACAAAATATTTACATACAAACCAATTTTTATGCACACATAAATAGTGTGATATGAAAAAGTGATATGAAATCATCAGAACTGAGAGAGGTATAACCATTCCCTAGTAGTAAAGAACTGAGGGCACAAAAATGCTAAGAATTTTCTGCCCGTTCCATGCTCTACTTGGCCCTGTGAAGGGGCTGCATTCAGCATCAGAGCCATATCAGCACATTGGCTTAAACCAGCTGAGAAGTCAACCTCACCTGAGCTGTCTGAACTTCGATGAGAGCAGAGCTTGAGCATTTTGAGCAAACTCTTACCTTGGCTCAGGGCAAGACACAGGAGAGTGCTAGGGAGGAGAGGGAAGAAACAAAAGGGGGAAGAAACAGAAGGGGGAAGAGGGGAGAAACAAAAGTAAACTTAAACGTCTCCAGCTACATCCACAAAACTTGGACCTGTCCTTTCCTGTGAGACAGCCCAGATGTACAAAAGTCTATAGCCAGGTGAAAAACTGAAGTCACGTCTTCCACCACTCAACTGTCTGTCCTCTGCATTAGCTCTTTCCCTGCAGACCTCTGGAGCTGCCACTTCCAGAAACTGAGCTCACGAATCAAAAGTCCTGATGCTTGCTGAAAAAACTGACACGACTGGGATCTTTATCAGGAGTTATGGTTAACTGGTAGCCACATTTGTTACCTTCATGATTTCCTCCAACATAGGATGGCTGTGCTAACAGTTTGCTAACTGGCAATATTTTATTGGACAGAGGATGATTAAATAGGCCTTTATTTGGGGGGAGTAAGAGCTGGAAACATTAAAACTCAAGGCTATACTTTTCTTCTCGCAGTAAAAACCCTGCCATATTTTACTCTTGTGAAGCAACTTTTAACTCGCCACACTTCAGAGCTTCAATCATGTCATATACAGGTGGGAGCAAGACGGAGGAGAAGATTTCACAAGTCACTTTAAAACAGGACGTGTTAGCTTTAAAAGCAAGTAAGAAATGTTGTTGCTAAATAAAATGATTGCAAAAGCACCTGATGTCTGAAGATTACTTTTTATGGATCAATTACCCAGCAACAAAATTCTTAAATCATGGGTGGTGAACTCACAAATTTTTTACTCGCTTTTTACTGGTTAAAATACCCAACTCTTTGAATCCCACAAGCATATTAATATACTTCTATTTAAACACCCCGTTTGGCTTTCCTGGCACACTGGAGAAAAATTCCTACCTTTAAAAAGAAAATGAGATTTTGATTCATAAATCCAGCTGCAATGTAATTTTTTTTTTTTTTTAAAGTTCGTCTTTTAGGCCAAAAAGCTAAAGCATGACTGTTCCCATGGACATACTTCAAAGTCCCGGCAGATATATTCCTCCCTAAACACTGCAACTATTTCAAAATCCTTTTTATAAAAAAGGGAGTAATGTCCACATGGGATCAAAGGGCATTCTGCAGTCTGGCAATCGCCTTAGAAAAATGGCAGTGCTTCCATGAAATATGCCCTAAAATAATTTTGCAGCTTGGTATGTCCTAATTTCGAATTGGATGTTTATCTTGGAAAGGCTTCTATCTAACTTGTCCATAAAACAGCTCCACTTAGCTCTATGAGCCCTGTGAAAATGGAATCCAAAGCTGGCTATTAAAGGGGCCTGGAGATTGCTTCCATATGGCATAACAGCATGGGAGTGGAGGGCTAAGGCCTACAGCAGGCGCTGCTTGGCTTGAGCTCCCGATCTATCCATGGACACTCGTTGCATTACACCGTAACATCTGGATTATTGCTTGTAATGTCCCTGGGAAATATCCACTTCCCATCAAAGCCTTTATCTATCTCAGTTGTACTTTGAACATTTTAGTATTTAACATAGTCATGTTTGATGTGATGTACTTGCTGCTTTAGGACCAAGGATTTTCCCTCCCCCCGCCCTTCCTCAGAGGAGGAAGAGGTATTTGATGTTAGTTCACAAAAAAACAGACAAAGTTTATAATCTGTGTTACAATTTCTTTTAAAAACAAAACATCCAGTTCTCTTCAAAGCTTCCAGGCTGAACACAAAAGAGAGTTCTTATCACTCGGTTTTCAAATCAAGTTTGGATTCCTTTCATTTTATACCAAGTCCAGTATTGTAAGGAGTCACGCAGTGGTGGTGGTGTCTTCCTATACAAATTTTGTCCAATACATAACCCTACCCTATTAGCCAAAAACTTGACAGTTCAAAGGAGTGTTGAGAGGTACCCAAACCATTCCCGGGAAACATCAGCACCTGCAGCTCGGTATTACTAGAGCACATTGCAATGCATCAACTCTGACCTCCCAAAACAGGTGGCCCGGAGCAAACAGCTTTGTGCACACACACACACACCTCTTCTGGATGGCTGCACATCTGCAAAAGCACTCTGTGCTGGGGTGCTGAGTCCATCTCAGAAGAGGAGCGTGTTGGCCTCCAGCTATGTTAACAGGACCTGGCTACTCCATGGATAATATCTAGCATCGCTTTAGAGCATCACAACAGGTAAAGGAGCCAAAATGTTTTCAACTGGTTTAGGGCATGGTGCTCATCTATACCACCTCCGCACAGGCTCGATGATGCAGCCTGCTCCCAACCTTCCCCAGCCCAGCTCTCCCACCTCCTCAACCCTCTCTCTAAATGGAGCAGCATGAAGCCCCAGGAAAACTGTTTCACTTGAGTCCCTGCAAGACAGTCCATCAGATTAAGAATGCTTTGGATTTCCTCAATGTGCCCAGGTCATTCATGCTCAGCAAGTCTGACACATCTCCTGCGCCTCATATTGTCTACGTGCACACCAAAGACCTGATCTGTGTGTGCTCTGCAGCCACCTCCCCAGCATTCCCACATATTTTGCAGGCTATTCCTCTGACCACCCTGATGGAAACCCCAGCCAAACAGGCACTGTCTCAGTTTCCACTCAGTTTCTGGAAGGAAATATGTCTGGGGAAACCCAGATGTGTGGTAGGCCCATGGACCTGGACCCTCAATGAGTCAACTTTAGTGTTGCCTGGGGAAGGCTTTACTACAGAAAATGCCTCCCAGGTGAAAAGAAATTAATAGCACGTTATTTATTTCAGAAGTCTCAACTCCTCTCTGATATCCTGCACCTACTTATTTCAAACAGATTTACACAGAGTTAATTGATTAAACTTCACTGCCTCCCTCTGAGTTTGCAAAACTATTAGAGAGCAGAGCACACAGTAGTGCAGTCATTAGTCTGACAAAGTCAGTCCGTGGTAAAACAAGCACTAAAAAAATTCCTAAATTCCTCCAGCCATCACTATACTAATCTGCCTTTACACCAGAAAAGTCAAAACCCCTCTCTATGCCAGAGAGAAAAGGAAGATGTTACCGCTTAATCAGCAATAATTTTAAAATATTTTTATCTATTCAGCTCTTCCCTTCCCCTGTTACCACCCAAGCTACAGACTGCTCTGTGCTTGGGTACTCAGCTCCTCCCGTCTCTGAACCCTAGCTCTTTCCAGCTGTGCTCCCAAACTAGATGCCAGGTCCCTCAGGCCTCTCTTGCTGTATTTTTCTGCAAACCCTCTGCAGTCAGCCAGCTCACACTCTGGCTGCATCCCAGATAAAGGTGCCTTGCAGAGGTACAGAAAAGTTGGCTGAAGCTCGGATCAGGCTATAGGGCTGGAAATTAGGAAACACATGCTTCATGATGGAAGTTGGCATATGTCCTGAGCACAAGACATTGGACAAGTTTACTTATTCCCCACCACCATCCATCACTTCTGAAATTAAGCTTCTGGCCCTGAGACCAGAATTTGAGGGGTTGTTTCCAGACAGAGCTCTGACTTCAGGGCTCTGCGTGCACTGAAGAATTTTCACACATGCATCTGGTGTGGGTGTTACTCTGCAAATAACCAGCAATACCATAAAGGTCATCCTTATGAGCAGTTCAATGCTGTAAAATGGATAACAACTTGAACAAAAAGCATCCCTCGCACAAGCCAGACAGAAAGAAAATAGTGAGCACAAGAATATACAGAAAGCTTTCTTCTGAAAAACAACTAAATGCTTTGAAAGTTTAAGAGATCATGTTTACTGCAGATTTATGGATAGCAAAACATCAGGTAAGAAGTGAAATATCTTTTCTGAAGCAAAAGAATAGTGCTTTCATGAAGCAGGACCCTGTCACAAGAGGAATAGAAGTTTTTGTTTTGTTTTGTTTCCTCTGCATAATACTTAGAAAGGACATTTCCCTGGAAAATAGCACACATCTCTGAAGCGAAAAAAAAAAATCGGTGCTGACAATATAATTTTCAGAATCTAGTTTCTGGTTTCAGAAATGAATATAAAAGCTTCTCACATGAATTTTCCATTTTCCACTACTTTCTGGTTTTGGTTTAAAGAAGAAACCTGGACAAAAATGAGCAGGTGGGCCATATTCCACCTTCACAGAGACAAATACAAGAGATGAGCAAGAACGTTTGAGCTTTGGAGGAGAAAGAACCGGCTCATTGACCCAGCTTCACAAAATCCTTTAGGAGCTCAAGTCTCCCTGATAGCACCATTTGGATATAATCTCCCTCTGTAGGCACCCTGTGAATGCCCTCTGGTGCATCAGTACTGCTTTCAAATCTGTCTCTTTTCCTGATGCACACATACATGCCCCAAGTTCAAACTTGTTTTTGAAGCAATAAAGAGATGCAGAAAAATTGTACATTTAAATGACACAGTGAGGTGGCCAAGTGTGAAGTGAGCCCATCTCTCACATCTTTCATTTAAAAGGATGAGACAGGACATCAGAAAGCCTGCTGCAATCCCTGTGAAGAGGTCAAACACAGAAACTGGGCCACGTAATTTGCCATTTGAGAAAACAACAACACGCAAATATGAAGACTCTTTGGACCTCTCCTCATTAGGCAGGGAAACCATTTTGCAGAGGCAGTCTCCCCCTGGGAAAGAGGAGAGGGCAGCGAGAAAGGCAAGTGAACCAACACGAGATTGCCGCCACGATGCGTGACCCCGTGGCAACCGAGTCCCTACGCTTTGCGAAACGCTCCAAGCACACCGCTGCCCACGGGGTATTGTGGGAGAAAGCCAAATACAATGAGGCAGGCAAAAATGAAACAGAACAGCCCACGCAGAAAAAGGAGAGTGAGGGATTTTCCCCTGTGAGGAGATGCCAAGGAGCACTTGGGTCCGGTCAGCCTTTCAGCCAATTTATTCAATCAGCTTAGGCTATCAAGGTGGCAATTGTGTCGCTTTTGTTTCAGGACTGAACTGCTACAGGTCAATCCACCCCAAGCAAACCTGCTTATTTGCTTCATAGATGTTCAACACTTAAAGGTTACTCAGCTGTACAAATGCTGGAAATAGCATGACGGGCACTCAGGGCGAGATTCAAGCCACCCGGGACAAACAAGGCTACTGAGCATCAGGACACTGGGTTCCAGCAGATATAGTTACCAACTCCTTCTGTGCCCCAGATAGCTCCAGAAAAAAAAAATATTAAAAAAAAAAAAAATAGAAAAGAGGGGATAGCTTGCAAATACACAGATATCAGCTCACATATTAATACTACTTAACAGTATCCCCCTCCCTTTTCTCATGGAGAGCGGCATTACAAAGAAGAAAGCTCTGCTCTTGGAGACAGCTCCTGCAGAGGACAATGCGGCTCTCAGCTCCCATGAAAAATGAGGGCTCTGGATATGCTGCCCATGTCTTGGGATACAGCCCAAATGTGAGATGATTCCCTTCTAGCAGCAACGAAAGATATATACTGTGTAATCAACAGATAGCTAAATCATCCCGTTTAACAGCTCAAACCAAAATGATTTAAAAGACAATATTCGGCGGCTGAAATTCTTCCTGCATAATATTTGTAACGACTGAGACAGACATAGCTAGACTGGATATCTTGTACTGCTGCTGTTCTCATTGTTGTCTTAAACAAAGCTTTTCCTTCAAAAAGCAAAGGAGCTTGGAGAAAACACGTGAAAAGTACATGGTATCCACCACAGCCCATGTGAATCCCTTCAGCAATCTGACATATGGTTGCATCAGGCATTAATACCAGCAGAGGTACTAACCATTTGGGGAGAATTTCAGAATCCAGAAAAAATCCTGTGACTAACATGACTGGACTCATTTAGGATACTGATATTCCAAATCTGCCAACCGCAGATAACATGGTCAAATTAGAGTATAACAGATTTCTTTTACATAGGTAAGAAAGAAAAAAAAATGTAAAAAACAAGTTTATTTTGTCCATCCTTAGAGTAAGTCATTTCCCCTATATTTTTTTTAGGAAAAAAAAAAAAGCTAAATATTATAATATAGGTCAGCTACGGTTCAGTGGAAAAAGAAAAATATCAGGAAAACCATTCCTAATAGAATATTTTTATTTATTTAAACCCAAAGAGAGGAAATTTAGATCTGTCTCAGTTCAGCTGCTCAAATGGAAAGTATATGGCCTTTTTTTTCCTGCAACAACCAACCACTGTCAGCTCAGGAGCCAAAAAGGATATGAGTTTGTGCATCTATTACAAAGCTCTTCCCATTTCCCCTGCCTCCCTTATTCCTATATCTTTATCTCGTCCAGCAACATTGTTTTCTACCCCATCATACTCTCTGGCCATTCTTCCATAACCTCTTGTGCCTTCCCTAGACACCTATATTCCCCATGCACACAATTTTTCTTTCTAGCCTTTATGTTCTGCCACAAACTGCTAGTACTGCTTCCACAGACCAGAGTTTCCTAACTAAAGATGGTTATTGATGTACAGTACTAGTGTTTTAGTGCAGTAGCAGAATCAATAAACTAGGAAATACTGCTTTGTCAGATTTTTCCGGCGCATGCTGGGAAATACTTTTACTGCCTTTGGATGGTCACAGTGCTTTTCTTTAGAGATCACACTGGAGCATGAACTGTGTCTTCCCTGGGAAGAACTGAAGCTCTCCTACCCTCTAGTGACTGTAACAGAATAGAGCACAGGGTTGCAGCTCTGTTTGTCTCTTTTTTTTTCCCCCCTCCTCTTTTAAACAATACTTTAATTTCTCCTAATTCAGTACCGTGCCTTAGCATCTCAATTTTATTTAAAGATGCGAAGGCACAAACCAGAGTCTTGAGAACTGAGAGACCTGCCAATATGGCTTATAGCTAAAAGTCTAAAAACTGCATATATAAAAATTTATTTAAAATGCAATGAGATATAGTGTACAGCTGAAAAAAAAAAAAAATTAAATGACAGCAACTAAGACAGAAGTTTGGCTATTCTGGACAAAAAGGACCAGAGTTTAAAAACCTGGCTCCCTTTTCTGGAACCCAAAGCCAACCAGCATCAAGAGACAGCTGTGTGTGCTTGCGTGAGAAAGAGGGGGATCAAGCTACACTGATTGAGTGAGGGCATAGTAATTTCCAGAGCTTTAGTTAAAAACTAAAGCACTGAGCTCTTCAATTATTCCATCACTTTCTGTCATACTGCATTCAGGGATGTCTGGCGGCTCTTTGCAAGCGCAGCGGTAAAGGGTCTGTGTTATCTCCCTGGAACCAGGGCTCGCCAAGCAGCCAGCCAGCTCCAAGAGCTGTTCTTTGCACTTCTTCTATTTACAAAAATATACTTGCTGGCACAATACCTGCGAGGGTTGGCTCCTCTACTTACCACACTAGAGTTATGAGGAATAAAACAAGAGGAGGTTAATTATTCAATTTATTTAGGCACAAACCATAGTTATATAGGGAAAATATCAAGATGCATATGTGTTCTCATAAGAGCCAAATTTTGCTTTTCAGAAAGTTAGACTGTATGGCTCTCAAGCTGGGTACTAGGCCTTGCAGTTTCTATATCATTGTTATTTATTCAATAGCAAATTAAAGCTTTACAGAACAAATAAAAAGCCACAGTCTGTTTCCCAAACAAGTTTAAAAACTAATGCAAAAATGGGACAATGCAATAATATAAAAGTAATGGCAGTCTGCAGGGCTACTACAGAAGACCAAGGAAAGCAAATTCTGTAGATATGTAGCAACACAAATCCTTGAAATCATGTTACATTGCTCATAATGAAAACTGCCTACTCGTTCTCCATCCCAAGAACAAAAGGGATTTCAAAACCCACAGGAACAACTAGAAAAAATGCTGTCTCACAAATTTCTCCAGTGGCAAGAGACAGCCTAAACAATTCAACTAAGAATCAGAAGACCCATTGTCAACACCAATATCTACCTATCCATAAAGCAATTTACAGTTTTTGTTATTGCTGAATTTATACGGATGTTTTCTTAGTACAGACTGTGTCTTTCTACAACTCTTTACTGAATGAGGTCTCACTCTTGATCACTGATAGATGCTACCACAGGACATATGATAAGAAAGCAGTGGCAATTTCTCAACACATTCAAAAATCAAAAATCTAAAGATAATCACATGTCCTGCATGTAGGTAGAATCTACACTTAAATTTTTTATACTTTTGCAGCTTTTTTCAGAGGAGGACACAAAGACTTGGGAGTGGACTTTTTGAAGAGAAAAAATTATGAATTACCTTGGACAAAGATCGTTTCTTCCGATTTGACCATCTCTGTTCAGGAGTCCCCAACATTGTAACAAAGAGAACCCACAAAGGGAAAAGCAGAGGAGGAATAAAATGGGGAAAGTTGTTTAGCAAAATAATTCAAACATTAGCTTATAAAATGAGTTAGAAAAGCTTAGAAGGGAGTTGGATCTACTACTGCATTCATTTACCTCCCTCCCTCATGGCACATAATCAACAAACTTAAAGTACCTGCATTGCACCAAAAATAATAGGAAGTAAAAAAAAAAAAAAAAAAAAAAGAATAATAATCAGAGGGACCCAGAACCATTAGGAAGAAACATGGATTATAGTTCTGGTGCCATCTGGTTCTACAGTAAGCTAGTTTAAAAAAATCATCTTGCTGTTAAGTGCTAATATGGACAGAGACATTTCACTATTCTGATTCTACTGGAAATGGCTGAGCAATTTGCATTTAAAATACAAGGGCTTAAAACATCATCTTTAAAAAAATTACAGTGTGCACTAACTCTTCTATCAACTGCATTCTGAATGTTAAGCAAGCACCCAAGAGTACCAAAAGCCACTACTTTAAACCCATTTATTTTCTGTCTCATTGGTTAAGTCCACTTTAGCATGTGCCTTCCTAAAAATCCCAGAAGAATTCCTGAGGTTCTTTTGGCTAACATAAAGATACCATCTTTGCTTCACCCCTTCCTGCAATCTGATAGCATTTGCCAACAGCATTGTCCTGTAAAAGTTAGCTGGTAAATTCATATCCAAGATTGAAGCCATCTCATAACATAGTTATATAACAACTGTGTTTTGATGTCTTTAAGTTTTTTAATAATCACAGACTAAGGTAGAAGTAACTTTACAATTATCTTTAAATTAATGCAGTGGATAATTTTACAGTTTTCAGAAAAGACAATTTGAAAAATAAATACTGAACAGCAGACATCCCATGTTAACTTTACCACCTTTAAACATTTACATTTCTAGAAATAAACCTATTCAGACAAATTCCATACCTATAATTCAATAATGTGTTGTAAACAGCAACTTTCACAGTAGACTATACAGAAGACTGCAGAAAGATTTTCTCTTTACATATTTATGTCACATATTTAAAATTGGTCTGGCTTGAAAAACAGATCTAAGAAAATGCCTACTCTTGGCTTTTCCCCATGCCTTGCAAAGCTGTTGCATGGACAGTAGCAGGGTGGGCTGACCAGGCTTGCTCCACACTGTGTAGAACACTAGTAGCAATCTTAGAAAATTATAACAGAAACAAATAAACAGAACTAACAAAAACAACACATGCACAACTTAATTTAAAAACTATCAGCCTCATGTTGTTCAGAGTCTCCAATCAAGTGTTGTTGTTTGTTTTTTTTTTGGTGTTTCTAGCATCACTAAAAGTTGCACCGTGTTTCTGCATCAGGAGTGAAGTTCAGCTGAACTCAGTAGCAAAATTCAGGTTTTTAAAAGAAATCTCTTCCTCAGCCAGTGTGCTTCTCTGCAGGACTGTTAGAGTTTAAATCTTAACATTAAATCCCTGTTTTAAGATTTCACAAAAATGTATGTTTCATCAGCATGATAAAAAAAAATAAGAATCACATTCAAATTATTGGGTTCTTTGTAGGTTATAAAATCTAAGTGTCTGGGTGAAAATCAGAAAACAGTATGCCCTGAAATGGCAATTAAAGCAGGTACAGTTCACACATTCACTTTAGCAACTTGCCTATTGCAGTGGAAGTTAACATGTACACGATACATGGAAAGCATTGCCACAGAGCACTTTGCAACTACAAGACAAAAGCATTCAGCTACAGATGTCTAAGCACCTTTTACCCAGTTAAATATGTGTTTTTAAGAGAAAAAAAAAAAGCTATGATCTATCTCGATTTCAGTATAGAGTCTCTGAAGATGAAAATAAAGGTGGCATTTCCCAGTAAATCAGATTATTCCAGCTCTTTTTTTTTCACCTCAACACATTTCAGCTATAAATTTGATTTCCTAAGCCACTTACATTATTTCTCTTGAAGTCTCCTTGCTTTACTGCTAGACTCAAGTTTAATACAATCACTCCCATGTCATCTTCTAAACTGTTGGGATCTTCCAATTTTAAAACCTGTTCAGTAGTTCTGCAAGAAAAAAAAAAAAAAGAGAGAAAAAGCATTTGTTGACTTCAGTTAACTCGAGTTCATTACTAAAGGTCACACTGAGCTGTGCAAATTTCAGCCTCTTGTCTGAAATTCCCAACACTGAGTTTAAATATTAAAGGGAGAAGTCTGGAGGGTTTCCCCCTTAGTTCTGATAAAATACACAACCTTTTAAATAACACAGCCTATCATGTTATTATGTTATTATCTGCATTTCTCCAGATGTGGATACATGCTGAATTAAGTTACTGCTGCCTCTACTTCACGGGGAAGAAGAATGACAGGGAAACTCATCCAAGTGAATTTTCTAGCATTAATGGCTGGGATTTGACTCACAAGATCTGTATTCTGCTTTACTGCCACGTGCATTTCGTCTCCCTCCGTGACTCAGTTCCCTCACTGAAAAGAGGCTGGTATTTACCTGGTGGCACTGTCTCACAGACAAATTCATTAATGTTTCTGGAAACTCGGATACAACAGCCGTGGGAGCTATAATATATCCGCACAGGGAGAACTCATTTTCCCCCCCAAAAAAAGTCACACAGTGAGTGAGTATAAAAGAGAGAAATAAAACTTGAATTCCTGGCTTCCAGCTCCACATTCAGACCAAGCAGCAGTAGACAAAAGGCGAAGGGTTTGCCTCTGCACTAAATCAGGGCCAGATGCCGCTGCAGCAGGGATGAATGGGGGGGTGTTGGAAATGGGGGAGCTCACAGGCAGCAAGGCAAACCATTCCCCTGTTGAATTATCTGCAGAAAAAACACACCCCACTCTACATGGGGCTAATAGGGGGTCTCAACTTTCTTTTCTTCTGCCATAAATCCACCTCTGTAGATAATTCTAGTGCAGCTTTCCATAAACAATACTGTATATACAAACACTTGTCCTTATTACTAGATACAAAAAGAAAAGTGTGCCTTCTTCTGAGCTGGGCTCCATCCAGTTTGGGTTGGATTCCGTACATAATGCCGGATAAAAGCATGCCTATGTGGGATTTATCTTAAGCTATTTCTCATGTTTTAAATGTGCTCCCCACCCTTCAATCAGAATAAGTTTTCATGAATAGATGAATTCCAAGCTATAGCAAAAGCATTTCATTACTTTGTTATGCTTCTCAATTAAGCTGCAATAACATTTAACTAAATAAACATATTACCTATTGAGTTCAAGTTCAGTGAGTGCTACGAATGCCGAACCCATGAAGTCAGAAGATGTTAAGTCTCGATCATACACCTGGTGGCAAAATAAAATATTTATAATTTTCACATCATAAGCCAGTTTTAGCCTGGATGATAAAAGAACAGATATTTTAAGGCCTTTATGATCAAAGCTTAAATATAATTCAGGGATAATTTTCCATCTCCCTGCTTTAATTTGTATTTTTAACTAAATATTTAAACAGTGTTTTGAAAGTGTCTTCTTAATATTATGTAAACAGAGACGTGTGCTGCTACAGATTGTGCCTGTTCCTTTATGCTCTCTGCAACAGAATGATGAAATGCTGCACAAAATCAGGTACTTCTTGCTACAGATGTTTTAGCAATTAGTGCTCACAACTGGTAGCTTGCAGTTCTGGTAACTGTAACGTTACTCATAATGAGAAAAGGCTTTGCTACTTGTCACGGCTGCATCCCAGGTAATAATTCTGTTCAACCCTGCCAAATTACACTCCTAAAACGTGCTTATGAAACCACTATTGATTTCACTAAGCTCGCACAAGCACAGTAAGTTAGAGCAGAATTTAGCTCTACAGTCTTAAACATATCCAGGCAAGGAATTTTATTTCAACTTGGGTTTTCATAGAATGAAAGCAAAACATGCAAGTAAAATCTGGAAAAGACATATGTGCATTTTAATTTGAAATTGCTCAAACTCTTCAACTGGATTGTGTTTTATGTTATCCTACTACAGTGGATAAAAAATCATTATGGTTTTAAAGTAGAAAACAATTGCTTAAAAGAGTACTTACCTATCTTTCAAAAATTTAAAACCCACACTTACCTTGATCCAGAGTTTTTGATCAAGGGTCTGTACAGGCAGCACTACAGTCTCATCCCAAACTGGGTTTAGGTTCTTGTAGACTACCTTACTTTTGTATAGAGTTTTCCCATTTAATTTAAATTTCACATATGGGTCACTTGTACCTGTGATAATTAATAAGAAATAGATTAGCACTGCCCCCATGTAAACCCATAATCGTAAAATGTATATTAATAAAACCATAAACAACAATAAATTAAAATGAGTTTTTAATATACATGTGTATGCATAATTGCCTATATAAAAATTTCTAATTCAATTGAACATAACCAAAAGGCTGTTTGAGAGTGGGCAACAAAATCTTCAGTTTGCTTGATCTATGCTGTGTTACTCTTAAAGAACGTTAATTATTCTTTAGTAACTTAGTTAACATTTTAATTTGGGTACAAAACAAACAAGGATGAAGAAATATTTACAGGGCAACTAGCAGAAGAGTGAAAGAGAAAATGTGATCCTGTGACTACAGACATATGAATAGACCAACACTAAAAAGCATTGTAACTTTGGATAGGAGCTCGAAGGAAATCAGCAACAATAGCTAAAATGCTCATCAGGATTTCATCACTGGTGTCATTTGCCAATTTGCTTAAATCTGAATTGGAAACTTCACTGAAAAAATACTGGCATTGTTCACCAGCTTAGGATAAAACCATACACAGAGCAGACTTCGTAAAGAAAACAAATAACATTCAGGTAACATTTAAAAATCCAAACAGCACATTTTGCCATGGCAATAGCATTCAATATTTTTATGGAACAGATGCCCACAGACAGACCATGGGGCTCAAGCCACTCTGCAGCAATAGACAGACTTGCAGCTGTCAAAGGAAAACAGAAGAGGGAATCAACTTTTTATTATTATTATTATACCAATGGCATCTGCACTAACACCAATCACTGCGTAAGATACCAAAAAAAAAAAAAAAAAAAAGAGGGAATGAGGTGCACAAAGCATTTAACTAGATAGTTGATTTAGACTTCACAGAAGTCTCAGACTGCCACTAACTGAAAAAGTAAAATTGAGGTCTAGCAGCACATACAATTAACTGATCCCAGGTGCTTTTTATCTGCCACATTCAGTATTGCCGGTACTGTACCTTACATTCAAAATTCCACTTCCCTGTTAACAGTTCAATTTCATTAGAAGAATCACAGCTAACCCAACAGACATATCCAGACCGGGCACTGCATGCTTCCAACACGGCCATCACTGCAAGCAGCACATTTTAAGGTGCTTATGGCAGAAGAAAAACTCCTCCACCAGACTTCACAAGTTCAGAAATTAACAGATTGTGTCCCCCCACAGGTACCCATGGAGCTACTGGTGACAAATGGGCAGCAGTTCGGAATGACCCAGTGCAAGACTAATACTCAGTCTTGTCGGTAATTTGGTGAAACAGTGAAAACACAAAAACTCCACATTCAAATATTCAAGGCTCTGATTAGTGCTATGTAAAGAAAAACTTGAGAAAAAATAGCTATGTGTTAGCATCTATTTGGAATTGAATAGTACTGTGAAGAATTATGTGCCTGGGACATATGGAGTTATTTTTAAGAATTGCAGAAAGTTTTATTCTACTTTCTTTTCAGAAGTGTTTCATTCACAGAAGGAAAATATTGATTGGATTTCAATTACTAACTACATCTGATCCTTTTTTAAATAGTTATTGCCAAAATCAACCTCTTTATTAATGTGAAAAATGCTGCAAACTTTAAAGAAATTTCTTTCCCGTCTTCTCTTAAAGATGAAAACAATAAATCCAAGGAAGTCAGAGATCGGTTTCTTAATGTTTTTTTAATGGGTTAGGACTAGACCTTTCAGTAGAATACTTATCCAAACTATGATTACGCTTTTGCATAAAACACACCGCTTGAAAACAGCACTTTTTACACAATGAATGGGAACAGAAAGGTAAGACATATCCCCACGATAGAGGCAGTAGCCCTCAGAGGATGCAGAAGCTGAGAAATGACAGCATTGAGATCTTTGATGTTCTTCCAGCTCCAAAGATCCCAGCTCCCTTCTCCTTTAAAAAGGAAAGAGGACTGACTATTATTTACAGGTCAAGCAGGAGCAAACTGAATGTTCAAAAATAACAACAGCAATAATAATGTCCAGAATCTATTCTGTGCATGAAATGGTAACCAGCCCAGATATGGAAAGCAGGTGTAGGAACTAAAAAATGAAGACGGTGCTGGAGGCAGGCAGTCTGTGGCCATAACAGACTGTGTTTTGGCACAGAAAACCCATAAGCAAGGACAAAACCTGAAAAGATAGAGAGAGAAAGAGGAGATGGAGAAAGCAAACAACCAACAAGTTCACTATTTGCAAGTACAAAACTCTGAGCCCTTTCTCTGAGGATGGGAAGCAAGAGGACCATATCTAAGTAAGCATCCCAATCGCATTATTGCCCTGAAAGCTATCCAGGTTGTTAATAAAGGGAAAAATAAGAAGAGGGGGAAAGGCTCCCTAGCACTGTTTGCGTGAATCAGGCTTTAGCAATTTTCCTTTTTTTTTTTTTTTTTTTATAAATACATACAGATATATATATATATAAAGCAAAAGAATATATATATCTATATAACAGTGGGGAAAAAGCTATAATAAAAAGAGGCCTTTAATTAAATAAGATTGCCACTGTGGGATCAGGCCTTCATGCTTGTCAGCTTACTCTCAAAATAAACATCTCAAAGCCAGGCCTCAGTGGTGTCACTTACTCGGGCAAGGCACGCCGGGTAATCCCTCGCGATCTTGACAGCTACATAATGTTCAAACTCCTTCACGGGTGAACGGCGGCACTCGCGCGAAAGAAAATATTAATGCCGGGAATTAATAGAAAAAGGGATGATGGTTTACAAAAGCCAAACAAGGAAGAAGTGTCAAGTTAGTACCACGTTAATTGTTAGGGAAAATAATTGCGAGCGGGCGCGGGTTGCGGCGGTGCTCGGCTGTCGGGCTGTCAGAGGGGTAACATCTCAACTAGGCAGGCAGGGGAACGGGGCCAGTGGCACGAGAGTGCAGCTCCGACATCCTACAAATGATGGGCTGACACCTCCACACTGGCAGACAGATGGACTTTAACCTCTGAGGCGGCAGCTGGGAGCAAACCAGGGCTCAGCAGCGTTTGCTCAGGTGGACCCGGGTGGCAAGGAGAGAAAAAGCGAGCTGGGCGATGGGGCTGGATAGAGAAGGGACACAGCACTGAAGCCCCTTTTCAGGCTTTCAAGGTTTCTCCCACACTGCATTGACAAAGCTCCTGTACCTCCTGGTGTTGCTGCACCCATCTCTTAGATGCCCCAGATTGCTTTCAGGTGATCAGAGTAGGTTAAAAGGAGACAGGGAATGAGAAATAAGGCAGGTGGACCAGCCCCACCTGGCAGGATGAACAGCACAGATTGCAAATTATTATGAACAGTATTTGAGTTCAAGGCTTGAAGCTATTAGATGGCTTAAATGCTATTTATTAGGGACAATCTACAGTGTAACCAAAACAGAATAGCTTTTCCAAAGTGACTAGAGATTTTAGATATTAATTAGTCTGAAAAAGGACGTGTTTCATTTTCTTTTAGACACAACAAGTGCTTGAGAATTTTCTGAAGCCAGACCATTAGGAAAAAACTTCAGCAGCACCCTCCTAGCAAAAGCAACCAAGTCAACAACTTGTAAGCACTCACACCCAGGGGTGCGCTGCAATGCAGGTTCTGAACCTGCCCATCTCAACCACCTCAGCTGCAGTCACACGTCAGGGGGGTAACATGAGAACAATCCTGCTTGGAAGCAGTTAACAATTTAGACCCAGACAAACATTCGTCTGGTGCATAAAGCAAGGTGAGATGTTTTGAGGTGAACTCAAATATTATGCAATGACAAGAAGGTTGTTAAATAGTTAACTATATATGCATGTGTTAGATGATCTGCTTTTTAATCTAAAATCCAGTAAGAGTAAAAAAAAAAAAAATAAAAAAAAAAAAATAGGATGATTTCTAAAAAATCAATCAGTTTTCTCATTGGAGAAACATGTGTCTCAACTGTGATACTCCCCTGAATTAATTTCCATAATATCTATTTTTCCTCTTTTTTTCTTCCACTAACACTTACAAGCTATGAGTGCAGGCAGACCAAGCCTCAGCTAAATTCTGAGCAAGCTTCAGTGACCAAAAGTTGCTGAGACACAGCATCAGGACAGGGCTTAGTAGCCCAAGAAACTGTTAATGGTGTTTTTAAATGGATACTGCTGCCCTCTAGCAGCAACCAAGAGATGTACCACATCAGCCGTGTTTAATAATACTACACACTTGCTTCGTAATTACAAGAAAAACACCAGACCCGATATGATTTCAAACCACACTCCATTTTATAGGAGTAAACTTACTGGAAATACAGCATATGAAACAAGTCTTGTTACATAAATAAAAAAATTACCACCTAGTCGCCTTAAAATCCTGAAAGCTCAAAGCAAGAGCAGTATGAAACATAACCTAGACCATCTTAAGTTTCAGTTAAAATCCCGTATTTGAATCTGAAAAAGGAAATGAAGGATTTATTTTATATGCACATAAAGAATGTATTTCTTAAAATCTTCCTAGAAATAGAATTACTGGAGTTATTTACAATAAGAAGTAAAAGACATTTTATAATGGAACACACACTTTTCTTCTTAAGTGGAAAACCACTATCCTTTCAGAGATCAAGGCTTAAAGAGGAAACCAGAAAAAAAGTAATCTGATGGCAGGAAATCCAGGTAATTTTGGAAAGTTTTGTGCACAGCAAGATTACGCGACCAGATGGAAATGAAACATTTCTTGGAAACAAGCATCACCAATAGGCTCCTAGGGAAAATAAACCAAAAAAACTTGACCAAAGACATATGAGGAACACACGCAAACCCTCAGCTGAGGAGAAAAAAATAAGGAAAAGTGCCAGACATTTCAGAAATGGTGACTGAAATTAAACCAACAAAACAAACAAGATCCTAACAAAACGACATTTGGGACACAATGACAGCAAGAATAGATAGCTTATGACAAAGAGCAGATCAAACATGGAGCACAGGAGGGTGCAAGGACACAGCAGAAGCCACTTTTACATTACTAGTGAGCACCA